TGAGTTTCTTACATTTAATGTTTTTTTTATAAGATGTGGCACTGCATGTCAATAAATTCAAATATAATCTAAAAGTTGACTCATTTCACTCACGAAAGATTGATCACAAGCTTGATTTCTATGATACATTATTAACTCAACTTTTGATATTTCAATTTCATTCTAAGCAATTTTTATATTAAACCTAACTTTGATGATGACAGATGTACATTTTACTCCTTCTGCCAGACATAAAACTGTTTGGAAGGCCGAGGTTCTGGTTACGGGGCTTTAACTGGGCCATCCACTGGAGAAAAACGTTTCTACAGGTTCATCTGGGCTAAAAGGAAGAATCCATGCTGTGTGTGTAGAACCGGTCAGTTCCCTATAGCGAGCTTTGAACAGAACCATCTAAAATAAATGACTTCAAATCCACCCTCTCAGCAAGCAACTTCCACCAATTGTTCACAAGGAGACTTATCTGTTGCTCCTTCGTTCTCTTTTACGAGACGCCTAATTCTAAAACAACACACAGGAACAGCATGAAGCTCAACTCTTTCATTGGTTGCTCTTCTTCTGCTTCAACAATCTGCCTACTGTTTTCATTCTACTTATACTTGAAAATATTATTTTCCAGCTTGTTTGTACTCTTAAAATGTAGCCTAATGTCCAATTTTTATTTACATTACTCGACAGTTTGATTGCACTAAACTATTTTTAACAAATATTCAGTATAATGTGTTCACATACTGATTCAATTTCCCTCCTGAATAAATTATATTTGTATAATCAGAAAACAAAACCAGAGTGGACAGAAATTAAGAGTAGCACTGCATCAGTATATTCTTTTTCAAGTAAAAGTAAAAAGAAGCCATCCAAGCAATGCAGCTTCAATTTTATGAGAAGCTTGTTTGTTCTCTATACTGATATATTAATGTTTAAAAGCAGAGGTGGGCAGAGTATCAAGGAACTCTCAGGGAAGAGTTGCACTAATTCAGGAGTAAAAGTAAAAAGTAAAGAGTAAAAAACGTATTTCATTACAAGGCTAAGTACTTAAGTAACTTATCAGATCATCTATTTAATATTAAAATACTGCAATCAGATAGAAAAATTTAAAGTTATCTACAAATTTTGGAATTTTAAATAATTAAATGAAATGATTACAAAATAACAGATTCAGCCAGAAGAAACACTTTTCCCAATGAAATTACCAAACAATCCTATGAAACTAAAACAGCCAATAATGCAAATTAAGGTAAAGTACTTCCAGTACCATAGCGTTAAAATAAAAAAAAGATTGCGTATAAAGAAGAAGCCTCACTTGGACTTAAATTCTAGGTGTGACTATCTCATCCATTTTATTTTTTATTCCTACAGTGAAGTTACTTAAAGTGGGAAGAGTATCCAGAAATTTACTGAAGTAAAAGTAGTGATACTTTATAATCATATCACTCAAGTAAAAGTGGAGTAAAATACTACTAAAAATATTCTTTTACTTAAGTAAATGTAATTGAGTAAATGTAAATAGTTACTAGCCAACTCTGTTTATCTGTCTGTCACCAGACAGACAAAAATACAAAATTATCGGCAAAGTCTGGAGTTTTATAGACAAAAAAAAAAAAATTAGTACATCTTTTATTTTATTCACTCATTTTCTCGAACAAAAACATGCTTTAAATGAGCAGTGTCAAACTCCAGTCCTCCAGGGCAGTTTTTAGATACAAGACACTGGAATGAAATGGCTTAATTGCCTCCTTCTTGTGTAGATCGGTTCTCCAGAGCCTTGCTAATGACCTAATTATTCTATTCAGGTGAGGTTCTGCAGAGGCACATCTAAAAGTTGCAGGGCGGTGGCCCTCCAGGACTGGAGTTTGACACCTGTCCTTTAAACACAAGGGAAAACAAAACAATTAAAACCAGGGCCAGCCCAAGGCATGTGCAAGCAAAGCGGCTGCTGAGGGCCCCCACACCACTATGAGCCCCTAAGAGCACCAAAGTAACACGGTAGACAAATATACATGTATTTTAAATAACACTGAATATAGCAATCTAAATGCTATTACACATGAAAAAACAAATTGTGCATTTTTTATATATATAATGAATAACCTCTTCCTGTCGATGGTTGTCGATGGGAAATATAAGCAATTCAATTTTGTGTTTATCAGCTGCAGTTACTTTCAAATAGTTACAATAAAATGGCACACTTAAAAACTTCTGTGAATTTCAAAATCTTCTTTTCTTTTTCTTAATTTTCTTTTATTTTGTTACTCCTGTAAGATTAAAATCAATAGTGATAATAGCGCTGGTATAATGCATGCTAATTACAAATGATGCTGATAGTAGGTGTGTTACATACAGAGAGTAGCTTAACAATAATAAATCATCTGGTGTTGACATGTTGGTACGAATACTTCCATTTGTGCAAAAACATTAAGATTAAAACTCAGTTAAAATGCTGCTTGGGGATATTTTTAGAAGGCGTCTCAGTTTCTAAAATAAATGAGAAAATTGGGTTAGGTACAGATTTGATGGTTTGATAAAATTTTAAGTCAATTTTGCAGTTATAGTAGCGTCTGTGTGTTAATTCACCAAAAAAATGTGAATTTAATGGTATTCAATTCTTGCATAACCACAACTACAGACTGTAGCTTCTCTAGTTCCTGTTTTTATTTAAATAAACCATGCAGAGGTTTGTACACTCTCTTTCCTAACCACCAAGATTTTCTCAAGAGGATTTTATGAGTCAAAAGATAATTAATCTGTGCTGTAAACACCGAAGTGCGGATATCTAAATACTTAAGTTGTGACTGCATGTTCCCAAAAAAGAAAGAAAAAAAGATTCATAGCTGAGATTCGGTGAATGGTTTCTCATGCTCTCTTGACACATTTTACATTTTTGTCCTTGTTAAGTGATAGAAGAGAGGCGCAGGGGCACTTGTCCACTGTTTCGCCATCCACTCCCACAGAAAGCAGCTGAGTCCAGATGTGGATGGAAAATACGAGGAAAGGATGTTCTTATTTCAAGAGTCGCCAACTCTGACCTGCAGTGATTGTTGTGGTGATAAAAGAAAACAGTCTGCAGCACATCCACACACTGCAGGGTCCTGCTGGACAAAGGACGATTATTTACTTTGATATAAAAAGCAGCGTATCCTGTTGCCAAAGTTAAAAATAAATCCAGCCCATGTTTATCCTAAAAGCTTGAGCCGATTGATTGAATCAAAATCACAAGAGCTGTTTGGTTTTTACTGTTTTTTTTTCTCCTTTTGACAAAATCATTATGATACCTTTAACCTCAACTTCACAGGGGGCTGATTGTTTAACACAGGTCAGAGGTCAACTTAGTAAATGATCAAAGTTCGGTCTTGATCTGCTGCACAATTATAATACGTCTTTAGAAGGTTTTTTAATCATGTTTTCTGATCAATTTGACATTTGTTGCAGAAAACAATTAATAACCAGTTTTACTAAAAAGTACAAAAACATTTGAACCACAAGCTAAAAGCATTAAACATTTTGAGTTCATAAAGGTTCTCTTTTTATTTATAATCTTTAAAATATTTTCAATACAACAAAACATGAATCATAAAACAATCATCAACTCAAACTGAGGTTGTGTTGCTGTGGTACAATGAAATACTGAAGTAAATACAAAACATTCTGCAGATTGCAGCTGTGATGTTGAAGGAAAAGATACAAGTTCTTGAAAACTTTTTAAAATAGAAATTTTACGTGCTCTATGAATCTGTGCTTGCTACACATTTCTGTTTCATTTTCTTTGGTTTTATTGAAAACATAACATTGTGCATAATTATAAAAAAAAAACAACATGCAGTTCTTTTCAATCATCTCTGACTTTGATATTTGTACAGCTGCAAGTCTTTTGGGATGTGTCTCTGTCAAAAATCAATCCGTTCTTCTTTTCAAAAAAGCTCAAACTCAACATGATTTTTTTATTATTATGCTAAAGAATACACAATTCTATCCAGGTCTGGACTTTGACTGGGCCATTCTAACATTTGATGCTTTAAACTAAACCCTGAAATGGAAATACTGGGAGATTGTTTAAGGTAGTTTATATATATTTACTAATGTTCTCCCCAACGCATGATGCTGCCACCACCTTCACTGAACAGCCTTCTTTATGCTGAGGCTAAATTACTCACTGGTTGACTTGATTTACTAAGAAAGTTAATCTTTTTGAGCTTCAAACACCTGGAAAAGCTTCAATATCAGTGGCAGAAGCAAACTTTGTATCCATGAAAGAATTTCAAATTCTGGTCAGTTAAAGTTTTAATGCTAATTACTGATAAAATGACTGGTTTGCAGAGTTGGGTAGAGATTACATTTACTCAGTTATATTTACATCAGTAACTTTTGGGAATAAATGTACTTTTAGGAGTACTTTTACTGTGCTGTACTTCTTACTTTTGCAGGAGAAATGTACTATGAACCATTGCTATTCTTGAGTCTGGATTCTTTCACTGAGTGAATAAAAAGTTTGTTTTGACCAAATATTCACCAGATATACACACGGCTGCAGTTGTTGTTAGTTTAATCAACTTTACATTGAATGAAATTGATGTGTGAAAATGTTTCTATTGCCTGAGTTTTTAACTTTTGCAATTTTGTTATTAATTTATATGGTCTTTAAAATAACATTTTGCATAATTTAATATTTTTGACCAATTAATCATGAGTCGAAGCCTTTTCACCAAATACTTTTGTATTTTTCAGTAAAAATAAGAAGTAGTGCTCCTCTTATAAGAGTTAAATTGTTGGGTACTCTATTCTCCTCTGCCACTTTGTGATCTTTGTACAATGTTGCTTCTGTATTGGCCAAAAATAAGAGATCTCAGTAAACTTGTTGGGTTTTAATGTGAGAGTAACAGTAAATTAGGATGAAAACAAATGCACCAGGGGAAAAACGCATCTTCTATGGTATATAAGCACTTTCTACGATTTGTTCAGTCCAATTTTTTTAGACTGTGACGTTGCGTCCTTCCTGTGTGCCTCCACAAAACTGATGTCACGCATGGATAAGTGCAGCTCAGAGACTGAAAGGGAGGAGAAGTGATCCAAGGCGCGCAGGAAAGCCGGTCGCTGATTGATTCTTCTTCTGGTTTATTACGCGCATTAAGAAGCTCTAAAAGGGAGCCGGTTAAACTTTTGTTTTCCTTTATATGTTAGCTTTCCTCTCTCTCTTTTTGGTGCACCTGTCCTGCTGACACAGCGGTCCATCCGTCTCTCCACCGCGGGCTCTGGAGTTGGGCTTCCCAGCTGCTGCGCAGGAGAGCTCCCCCGCGAAACCTGGATGGACATGGGATACATCAGAACCGCCGCAACTTTGCGCTTGTTCACCTGAAAAAGGCTTTGCAGATTTAAAAGACGCGTTTTGAAAGGATAGAGAGCGCTCCAAAGGGGGGGGACGTTTGGTAGACATCTGGATCTAAAAAACCTCCGAAAGGGACCTGATATTGTAAACGCAACTTTTGTTTATTTTTTTGATGGTGGAAGGATGATTTCTTCCAGCTGCTTCCAACTGCTCGCCGTCATCTTCTGTTGCGCATCACTCACAGCTGGTAAGATATTGAATACAACTGTAGAGAAAAAATTGTAGCGTGAATATTGGGCAGTTTGGTTCTTTCAATGAATGATTGCAGCACTTCTGTTTGATTTTGGCTCTACTCTTAAAGGAAGCTCTGAATGTGAGTCGTTTTATACTGCTGGTTGTAACCTATGGAGTCCAACTTTTATGGGTTATTTTTTTAAATACAGAAAACAACTTGCACCCACATTTTAGGATTTTCTGTTTGAAGTTCTGACATCATCCGCTAGAGGCAGTATTGTCCCTTTGAAGTTTCTTAAAAATTTGGGTCGTAAAAATCAATTGAACCTGGCAGGTAAATTGGGAGATTTCTTTCTGGAAACATGAGAGTCATTTCATAGACACATTTGGTTTTCCCAGATTTTCTCAAGACTTTGCTCTTTGTTTTATTTTTGAGGGGAAACAGTTTATTCCAGGAATTGTTATCTCTGAGTGAAGAAGACAACATTGCAAGTTTTTCCTCTCTCTTTTTTTCTGTTTGTGAAATCAGCTTCATTGTTTGAGAGCAGCTCCTGCAAAACGACACGGAGCAGAAAACATGGATGTTCCTCCACCTTGTGTCAGGTCGATACACACTACGGCTTCCAAATAAACAACCCATCCAAACAAAGGAAACACTGTTCCCATTCTTACCCTTCGCCTCCCTCCTACTCACACACACTTTGAGCATATGAAGCTTTTGTTAGCAGTGTTTTTAAGTAGATTTCCTTCACTGTCCACACAAAGCGTGGGAAAGACGCACGCAGGAAACGGATGCAGCGACAAGAGGTAGCTTGGGATTGTTCTGGCTAGTAAAGGTCACGGAAATGTGACACGCTACCTGAGCACAAAAAATGTCTTCCTGTAACTTCTTGAGATGATTTTTAAATATCTCAAACCTGATGCACAAGACAATGGCAGAAAGGAAGCAGGGGGCATTGTTTCTTTGCAGTGGTAGAGTCATTAGTCATTTTATAAGACACAATCTGCTGATGTGTGTAACAGATTTGCTGAAGGACATAAAATTGCGATGAGTTTCTCTTAACTCAACAAAAGGATCAGAATTGTTTTTTTATCGTTTCTGAGTTATGCAGAGAAGGAATAGCACTTTTAAAGAATAAAAGCACTTTTTTAGTCAATTAGGGAGTCAAAGGAACAAAGTCACATAATTTGGTAATATTTAACTTTTAAGTTGCTTCAGGTTAGTCAACTTTGAGCAGTTAAACGCTTCTTCCTGCAAGAGAAAAAATTCTTCTAACTTCATAAATAAGCTTTGGGAATCATATTTTTAATAAATGTGGAGTCTAGCATTGCTTTCATTTATTGCATTTCCCTCATATACATAAAGCAGTAAAATAGGAGTGGCAAGAGGTCAGCCAAGTTCAGCGGGGGCTCATTGCTCGAGCCAAAAAAACAAAAACCTGATATGGACTGTCAAACAAGACGAAGAAAAATCATTCCTCCCAAGACGTCCTTCTTTACAAATTACTCTATATGTCTCTGTTCTTATTTGACTATTAGAACATCTGGTCCATCTGGATGCATGCAGCGACATATTTTCCTGAAGTCCTGCAGGGAATTTTAATTTTATGGGGCTTCTGTCTAACTACCTGCCCTGATTACACGTTATGGAGCAGGAATTCTTTAGGTTTACTTATCTAGACTCCCATGCAGGAGACTCCTGGTTCTTGGCTCATCTCAGCTTTATATAACTTAGATTGGCCACCCATCAAGTCCAGATGTTCAGTTCTTTTGCTTTTTTAAGAGGAGTCAGAGGCATTTTGCCCCCAAATCTCCAAAGGCTAATAAATGACTAATAAAAAAGAAGCTTGCAGTAACTGTTGTCATAACCTTGCAGTTGGCAGAAAAGGAGAAGAGGTTAGGAAGAATGCTTGTGAAAGAGAACTGCAGGACAAATGTTTCTTATTATGGCAGGTGACTGTGGTGGAGAAAGTGCTGGGAGTTTAGAAAATATAAATCCACTTTTGCTGCATTTAAATCCAATTTATCTCCCTCTCAATTAGGAATGCAAGGTATGTACTGTAGAAGTAATAGAAATGTGGCCTATGATAGAGATCTGTAGCCACGGCTAACCACGGTAAAAACAAACCGCGGCTTGTTGATGACGTAACCGGTTGGCAACAAAACAGAGCAAGCAGGAAGCAGCAAAGGAAGAGCTGGTTAAAAGGCAGATAAACAAGTGATCTGAACCTAGCTCAGGTTTAACCTCCCATGATGTTAGCGCGATGCTCAGATGGAGCGCGGCAGATGTCACGGTCAGACATTGGGGATTTATGAATTTTATATAAATTGTATCACAATATACAGCTCTGGAAAAACATGAAGAGCCCACTGAAGCCCACTGAAAAAATCCTGGTTATTCCACTATCTATTGATTTCTGAACTCTTCCTGAGAGAAAATATTAGTATTGTTTCTAAATAAATATAAACTTGTTTTCTTTGCATTATTTGCAGTCTGAAAGCCCTGTGTCTTTTTAGTTTCTCAACTTTTTCTCATTTTCTGCAAATAAATACTAACGTTTTGCTTGGAATTTCATAGACATGTTACTCATTTTACTCAGACACATACCTATAAAGAGTAAACCAGAGAAAATTGTAATTTTAAGTGGTCTCTTAATTTTTTCCAGAGCTGTAAATTGTGATATGAATTTTATGTCATATCGCACATCCCTTTCTGAATATTGTTTAATGTCATGAAGGTTGAACAAGAGAACAATATTGTTGACTAGCATTGCTAAAAAAATAAAATAAAATAAAAGATAGATTCCCTTTTTCTCTGCCGGGTTTGTCATAATTTCTTATAACAGAGCAGGAAACCAGGAATCTTCACAACCAGGAAGATGTGATGTATTTTCTGCAGAAGAAAAGGGAATTCCGCACATTATTTCCCGCACTTGAAGGGCAGAGTCTTGGGTTTTCCTGTTTGAATCTGTGACTCTATAGTCACCTCTTGCAGTAATACTGTCTCTTATTATGCAACAGCTGCTGCAAGCGACTGTCACGCACAGTTCAAAACAGATGACACCCTGGCAGAGGTCTTTCCTGTCTCAGGACTTCTGTTTATGTAACACTTTGCCTTTACAAACACTTTTTCTTTTGTTTTCTGTAACTTTTCAATTGTTATCTTTCAATTTCTACATGAAATTTGTTCAATATTTTATTTAAAAAGAAAACATTTGAATTGTTTCGCTTGCATTTTCACAAAGTGATGCATGATTGTATTTGTATTCAGGATAAAAGAATTACCAACCATATTTTCTAACAAAGGAAAATGTTATTTATGACAAAATATATTTGTCTTTTGATAACCAAGCTTTTACAATAAGTAAAATCATGTTTATCCAGAAACTTGACTAAAGAGCACATAAGTAAATCTCTGAATTTCAAGAAGGTTAAAGGAAAATTCCTCTAATTTTTCTGGCAACAATCATTTAAGCAATCATATCTGACCTAAAAGAGGAAACATTTTCTCTGGCTTAATAGCAGACAAAGGTTATAAGTCGTTTTATATAGTTTTTATTTTTTTCCACTGTAATTACCACACATTTTTCCACATCTAATATTATTCAATTGGTATATTCTTAGTGGCTTGAGCTGAAAATGACCCGTCCTCTTCCTCCTTAACGCTGTTTGATCCAAGCCTGCTCTTTCCCTTTAATAGATGCTAATAGGAACCAGCTCCAGGGCCTTTGAACCATCAAAATAAGCACAAATTCTGGGATTCTTCAGAAAATATCCAACAGGAATGCATCACACAGCTGGTACAGGGGGTTAGGAGAGTCTGGATGCTTTGCAGGGTCAGAGCTGGACAGCGGCAGGTGGGAATTGTGGGAAAGACGACGATGAGATTTCTCTCTTTATTTTTTGCTCTCTTGTCTTTATTTTCATGCCTGTGACCCCTGTTGTTTCATCCATCTGTATTTCATTACTGAGGAAAAGGGACTGAAATCATCTCAGCTTCAGAGGACAGGATGCCCAGTTTTCACATCGTTTCTCTATTGGCGGGTTTCGATTTTCAAAATGTAAGTCAGACTTATTTATTTAAGTTTGTAACAGCGTTTGGTCCATATCAAGATCTTAAAGTTCTTAAAGGGCCAGAATGTATCAATAAAATCCACTAAACTGTTAAAATATTAATAAATAGCTTCTTTATTATAATATGCTCAGCGAATGTTCTCTGCTTCGCTTACATAAAACCCAGTCTGGCATTTTCCTTCAGTAATTGCAAACAGAATTAATCTGTATGTAATTTAATCTCAGAATAAATCCAGCTGCTTTTCTTCAGAAAACAAACAGCATCGCAAAGATGAAGAAATACACCAGAAAGGTCAGGAAAAAAGATGAGGGTAAGCAGAAAAAACTCATCCCAACGTTTGAACACCTCAAATGAAAAAAGTATTTTTCAAGAGAGATTAACGGCTCTGGGAGGGAATTAAGATAATAATTAGTCGTAGGCAGAGGAGGCAGAGCACCTAAAAATTATACTTAGTAAGAGTAGAGATACTGAAACATAATTTTACTCAAATAAATGTAATAAAACTAGTTACTACTCAACTCTCGTCATTATGCAAAAGAGGAAAGCCGTTGTTGAATTTCAGCTGTGGCAAAACAATCAGTTTCACCACAGCTTTGATCAGATCGAACCAAAGTGAAACATAAAGCACTATTTGTAATAAGAAACATGGTAATGGCAGTATCATGCTGCGATCAGAGGAGCATTTTCTCTGCTGTGTAACTAACAAAAGTATTTCTCCAAAGCGTTGACTCAGGGAGGCTGAGTACATATCCATCTTTCACTTTTAACTCTTATTAAAGAAACAAAGAAGACCAAGTGTGATATTTCCTCCACTTCACAATACCTTTTAGTTTCTATCAAGTAAAATCCTAATATTCTGTTTGGGGTCACAGAATGGGAAATGGTTCAATGGGTCGGTTCGGAGACACATAGAGCAGAAAATCTCTGATGTAGTTAAAATTGTGTGGTGAAACAACATGACAGCGTGTGAGAGAAAAGCCCTCCCAGTCTGCTCAGCCCTAAACAATAAAACAATGATGTTGTAATATTTAGTTAGGAAGTGGATATTAAGTGCCACTGCCAACGTTGGCTCTTTCTTAGCACAACAGCTGTTCCAAATAATAGGAAAATACTTGGCCAGCGTGCAGAGTGTGTGTATTCCTAAACGCTTTGTGCTTGTCAGGGTTTCCAGGTGCAGATGTGCTTACACATGCATGTCCATCAGCTTGGGTTTATGCGACTTCATTGTTTAGGCCTCCCCAAAGACGCTCAAACTCTATTTGAAGGATAGAGTTGATAAAGTTTGTGTTCCTGGGCTGCCGTGTCAGTCTGTTCAGGGATTTTCTGAAAAGAAGGAAACCGCATCTGTGACGGTGATTGCTCCTGAACATCAGAGGGAATCACACAGCGCTTCCTCTGTTAGAGAGATTTTACTATCATTATTGTTACTAAATAATGAGGTGCAACAAGTACACAAAGAACAGCAAACCATATAGAAGTAGCAACAACAGTCACGGGTTATTATAGCATCATGTACAGGGAAGTTAGATAACACACTGAAAGTAGTTTAATAGGTTCAAACTCACAAAACAAAGATTTCTTTTATTGAATTTACATTTCTAAAAAAAAAATTCATTAAAAAAATTGAAAACCAAGTAGAATATTATTTCAATGTAAAATAATGAGTTTTTCTATATTATTGATTATAAACTAACTGACATCTCCCCAAAAATTGGAAAAATTTGAAAATGTATAACATTTTTGAATTTATACAATTTTCAAAATGTCTATTTTTTTCCAGAATAATTTTTTTTTTTAATTTATAAAAAATTTAGATACATTTTTCCAATTCAGAAGTGTGGGAAAATGTATTTAAAAACTTGTAAAAATAAAATAAAAATAATAAATAAATACAAATAAAAATTACCTGAATTCAGTTGAAAAAAATTATAAATTTCTTAAAGTTTATAACATTTAAAATTTATGTTAAAAATTACAATTTTTAAATTAGAAAAATAAGAACATTTATTAAAAATTAATCAATCTTTATTTTAAAAAAATACTTGAATTTTTCCAAATTTATGAATAACATTTTATTTACAATTTATATTTTCAATATTACGGCACTGGTATAAAATAACATATAGAGCAGTAACAATGTGTTTCTGCAATGGGGCATGAGTTTCTTGATTTTTAGCTCTCTGGAAGTGATTTGAAACATATTTGACCTGCAGGACAAATAGCAACAGAAGAGAGAATCAAACATTCGGAACACAAGGTCTAAATAAAAAAAAGAATCTGGTTGACACATGCAGCAGCTCTTTGACTGTCCGAGCAGCTGCTCGCTCCGGACCTCCATCCGATTCAACAACCTGCCCTCCGGTGCCGGAAACACGCGCAGCGGGTCATCACTTTGCAGGGGCAGAGGCAGAACGGCACAAAAGAAAGAAACCCACAAGCATAGCAATGCAGTGAATCATGGGAATTTCCACCGGTGTTTTGCATTCCTAGCGAGAAACTGTGACTGACACACACCATTACTGAGGAACTGTAAATGCTGAGCTGTGTGTGTTTATGTGTCTTTGCAGGACAAGTGGACAAGGATCCTAAAATCCGTCCCTCTGATAATCCACTGGTTCTTCATAAAGGAAACTTGTTGAACCTCACTTGCAGGTACGCAGCGCAACACACCAGTGATGGTGAAGTTTATATTTCCCCAAAGCTGCACGAGTTCTTATAGATATTTTAACATAAATTATAATTAACCAGACTTACACTGCAAAAGCACAAAGTTTTACCAAGTATTATTAATCTAGTATCTAGTGCAAATATCTTAGTACACTTGAAATAAGAAGAAATTAACTTAAAAGTTACTTTTCAGCATCATATGAGCTTGCTTTAAATCAATATTTCCTCAATATTGATGAAAAAGTATTTTTTTCACTGGCAGATTATTTAACTTATAATTTATATATGTTAAAATTCGAGTATTTTTTAAAATACTAAAATCCATCATATGTCTTGATGAAAAACTACTTGTGAGTTAGTTTGTCGCATTTGAAGTGTATTAAGATATTTGCACTAAAGTTGGCCAAAAGTACTTGGTAAGATTTTATGTTTTTGGAGTGTCTTAACTTGACATAGTAAATATTTCATAGAAGACATATTCAAAATGTGAATATTTATTATGAAACTTTATTAATTTTTATGCATCTGTTGGTATTTTTGTGGATTTAATCCACATAATATGAAGTTTTGGTTTCAAAGGCATGACTATTAATGGCTAGTTTTAATAACCATACAAAACCAGAGAAATCCAGTTGATATTTATCTAGTTTTTGATTTGTTTTCATAGCAGCACCCAATAGAGAGTTCAAAAATGCAATTGTCTTGCTTTTATATCTTATATGAGGCTGCAGACCAGAGGAAAAATAAACAACCACAGTGTTTGACAGGAACCAGTGGTGGTGGTGGTCCAAATTTATCGGCCTCTTGCTATTTTCCTTAGAGCTGGTGGGACCCGAGTGCGTTACATTCACATTTAGAAAGTATTTAGGGCATTGCATCATTTCGCAGGCTTGCAAAGAATGCGCAGAAACTCGTGGCTATCTAATGTAATGCTTCCCTACAAGGCGATATATGGCGAGCCTCTCGGAGGAGGCATATAGGCCTGCGTTGTTTTCTGTCACTGGATGAGAACTAAAGGTTGGTTGACCCAAAAGTTTCTGCAGGCAAAGTCTACGGCATACTAGACATGTTTGATGTTCCTGTGGGATCGCTTTAATGAGAGTTTTAAAATGGGTTTTGCGTGGAAAGAATGTGTTAGCTGAGCACGTCTTTCAAGAGAAACATGTTCCCATGTGAAAGTTCAAGGTATCGGATGACTCGAGATTAACTCCAAATAAACTCAGGATGAACATCAGGGCAGAAAATCCCCAAAGGGGGGGAAGCAGCCGCTGCCGTTCTGAACCGAAAAGATTGCAAGGCCGTTTGCCAGCTGTGACACTTTAACTAAAAATAGTTCTGAAATATGCACAGAGTTGGTAAATATAATCATCTGCGCCTCTCTCTCTTTCTCTTTCTTTTTTTCAGAGGTCATGGGATCTTACAATGGATTCTTGCAAATCGACTGATCCAATTGGAGGAGGGTGTGAAGGTGGAAAAGTGTGACTCCAAGCATCACTCACACTGCAGCAGACTCACAATTACACACTTAACGGCCAACGACACGGGGACGTATACCTGCAAATACTCCAAATCTGGCTCAGAGCATTCCACCTCAGTTTACGTCTATGTGGAAGGTGAGACGGAGGAAACACTCCTGACAAAATGTTGACCCAATGCAACATCGGGTCAACAGTGCAGGTTTCAAAAACATGCCTCCAATGTTTTTAAAGTCTAATTTAAGAACTAGTCCTGCGAGAAACTTAAATTAATCAATCAAAGCAACACTTCATCTCTGTTTTTAATGCGAGAAAAACGTTATAAAATGATATAAAAATCCCCAAATGTGTTTTATACAACTTCCCCTCTTTAGAAATATTACTCATCAAATGTCTTTTGAATTTTTTTTATTAAAGCAAATACCGATCAGTCCCTTTCAAACAAACAGTTTAGACTTTTGTTCCCCCCAAAATTTCAAGAGCTGATTTTTTTACATGCAAATTTTTTCGGTGCAAATTTAAGTTTAAATTTAATAAATATTTTTCATCAATATCAAGGAATCATTGACTTAAAACAATCTCCTATATACTGCTGAAAAGTTACTTACAAGTTAGTTTTGTTTGGTGAGATTTTGTGTTTTTTCTGTGCAAAAATTAGATATTTTTTATTCATACATGTGCAAATTAGTAGATTTAAAGTACCTAACAAACATCTTTATCTAGAGTGGGAAAAAAAAATAAAAATTCAAGGGATTTTAGCACCAGAAAATTAAATAAAAAATATCTCATTTTAAAAGTTGGCGTATTCAAAAATGTATTTTCAATAGAAATTGATGCATTAAAAGTGCTGAAAGGACACAAATCGTTCTATTTTGTTAAAAAAAAAACTTTTAAAAAATCCTAAAAAAAATTATATTCATTTATTCAGTAAAGCAAGAGGGTTAAGATGCATAACAAAAACAAATAAATCTCTAACCATGCTAGAAAGTGAGACAAAGTGGAGAAATATATTTGAAGAATTGCTTTTCTCTAAAATAAAAACCATAAATATATTCGACAACACGATTAAATCTAGATTTGTAGAAACAGGGAAAGCATTGTTCTTCAGAAGACCTGCCAAGGAATAACAGACCACCAAAACACTCAGACAGGCCAGAGAGGGTTAGGCATCAACCTGAGAGATAACCACGAGGTCAAAGGTTATCCCAAATGAGCTGCAAAACTTCAGAGCGTCAGTCAAAGCTGCAGACCTGCTTTTTATGATAAATGGTCCCAGATTCAAAAAGAAAACATGAAAAAGAAGAAAAAATGCTATTAGAAAATCTGATTTTTTCACATAAAAGATATTTTCCCATGTTTGCCAATAGAGCAAGTAGTTTTTTTTAAATCAATAATAAGTAATTATTGAATTTGAAGGCGTTTCTACATCTTGTTTAAAAGTTAGTTTTGTTTTATTTCAGCTATACTAAAATGCTTGCACTAAAAATTAGAACAAAAATTTTGTGTTTTTGCAGTGAATCAAACGTTTTGAAAGAAAATAACCCAAATCTTGTTCTTTTATCGAGAATAAATTTGCTGAATTGAACCAAAACATTTTTTAAACTTGATGTCGATTCAGGTTTGGATCATTAAAGATCCAAACCAGTTTTGGATCTTTAATGACCATAAGAAATGCTTTATTTGCTTTATTTTGGATTCTTTTTTTTTTTCTAAATTAGTTTCGACTCAGTGATTTTGACAAAAACCTTTGGACACCTCTGCAAAAACACCAAACCCTACCAAGTATTTTTAATCTAGTTTCAAGTTCAAATGTCTTAGTAGAATTTAAATAAGACAAACCTACAAACAAACATTTTCCATAATATAAGGCATCAAAACATCTTTTTTCACTTCTTCTTAAAAGCAAGTATTTATCAGTCCTTGTGAAACAAAGCAATTTTTTAAAAAACGTTTTTCAACATATTTAGACCCCAAATTTTAACTTTATTGATAATCTTTGGTGCAGAATAGTTTAAATATTAATGCACACCAGAAACTCCTCTAGCTATATATACCCTGTTCCGAATTATTATGCAAATTGGATTAAAGTGTCAGAATAATTTGGAACAATGCATTTTGAGTTTTTACTGTTCTCAAGGGGAGCTTTGTTCAGTGAAATTTGATTTATACCGTAATAGTTCATGACTTGAAAATTATACTATTGTTTGCATTGAACATTTGAGAAAATTTGAGAAAATATCACTCGCATAACAATTTGAAACATGGTGTAAAGTTGTGCTTATCCTCCATTTTTCTGGCAGTCTGCAGCCTCCTTCATTGGTTTCCCTCTGGTTTCCTCAGAGAAACAGAGAGTGGGAGTAGTTTGTGCTGTGGTTTCTCCTGGAGGTTAAAGGGTGAGCCTGATTGCACAGGAAACTCTGGTCATTGACTGATTTCCTGCTCCTGCTACTGTTTCCAAAGTCTTCCCTAAAGCATTGCATCGCACCGGTTACAGTTCCTGTACTCTTCAAATGGAGCCTGAGCTGAAACTCCAAAGCTAAGAAGTTTATATAAATACAAAGTTCTTAGATTTGAGTCCAAGAAATGGTTTGCGTTCGAATGAAGCTGGATACTCTTCATTTCCTTCCTTGTTGCTCTGGGAATGTGGTTTCCACTCTGCCCGTGTTTAGTCTGGCAAACTATTTTCAAAGCCCCTCAGTTGTTTATTAGATTATGATACACGCTTACTTCTCAGATAAAAGTCCCTTCATCACAGCAATAATGCTTGACCTCACACCGATCACAGACTGTTTGAGTTCCCATCGTTGTAGTTTGATGCCTGGCTGCCCAGCAGGCGCTAAGCTAAGAGCTCCTCCTGGGCTCTGCAGCCTTATCTGGGCAGAATCAACTAATCGGTTCATCTCTGCGTTGAATTCCTGGACTTTGTCCTTTTTCAGCTCAGGCCATCCAGCGGGAAGGCTCGGGCAATGATAAAAATATGTGCCAATCCTTGGAGCGTCATGGGAAGTTGGAGACAATCCCAACTGACTGAGTGAAGTATGGCTGCACAGACTTTATTTCTAAAGGAGGGATGGACAGAAACCTGAAATACAAATGGATGAAGGCAGAGGAGCATCAATTCTTCCTAATACTTTGAACAATAATGTCATAAATATATTGATTATGACAGGTGTTTTATTTTTAATTTAGATCTTATGACGCATAAATTAAAACATTTAAAACAAAGAAATTATAAAATTTAAGGTGGTTTTCTTATGAAGCAAGATTACTGTTTCATTATTTCTGTTTCTCTGTTCTTGTGTCTTTCTTTCTCTCTTTCTTTCTTCCTTTCCTTCAGTCTTTCTTTCTATTCCTGCTTTTTCTTTTTCTGCTTCCTTTAGTTCTACAATTCTTTCTCTCTTTCTTTCTCTCTTCTTTCCTTTATCTCCTTTCTTTTGCTTTTCCTTTCTTTCTTTTTTCTTTCCACATTTATTAGTTTTTCATCCTTTGTGTTTTTATTTTTGCCTGTCTGTCAGTCTGAATCTCAGTCTGTTTTTCAATTGCTTTCTCTGCTACATATTTTCATATATGGTGGTAACTTTAGTGGCTTTTTTCCTTTGCAGACCCTAAACAACCGTTTGTTGAGCCTCACACTCCTACACCTCTGATTCTGAGCATTTACGGAGAAGAAACGCTCCTCGTCGTGCCATGCAGGACCACCTCGCCTAATACTGTTGTACGCCTGATAGCGGTAAGAAAACCGTCGCACTTCTTCCGCTTGTGAGGTTAAATAGTTGTAAGCGCTCATGTGAAACTCTGAAAAATCACGCAGTGCATCATCTGAGAAAACAGAACTGTTGTTAATTTAACAGCAGGGAGTCTTTATTTATCATCTGTGCAGGGTCTCCATCAGGAACCAAACTGGTTCCCACACTTGATGTGTGGTCAACATATTTTTACTCAAGTAAAAGTAAAAAGAAACCATTTAAAGAACTTACAAAAGAGTATAAAAGTATTTGGTGAAAAAGTGACTAAATGTTTCAGGGTTTTTTTTAGTTTCTACTCCAAATATCTTAGTGGCTTACAAGTAACTGTAGTAAGAAACATAACCTTGTTTTAGGTCAATAATTCCTTTAAATTTATGTAAAAGTTCTAGTTTCATTGGCAGATCATTTCACTTTCAATAATAAATTTGTCCCATGTCATAAATTAAATAATCTGCAATTGGATCTAGAACTTTTTCATCAGCATTAAGGACTTATTGACTTAAAATAAACTCTTATTTCTTTGTGAAATAATATTTGCACAAGAAACATTTAGACCAAAACAACATGCTAAAATATTGTGTTTTTGCAGTGTGATCAAAATATAGTGATTTTTTTTCCAAAGCCTTGCTCCAGTAAATGAGCAAGCTCCGCTGCGGTAAACAGAGTCGCGTTGTCTGCTTCCTGTGAGGACAGGAAGGTGCTCCAGGAGCGCTCCTCTGCAGAAATAGACCTGGAGACCAAATTTAGCCTCATATCTTTTGTAGCATCAGGAAATGTAACAAAAAAGAAACAGCACACAGTTCAGGAAACGGCAGGTATAAAGCATTTAACGACATCCATTCATTATTTCATCTGAAGTTCATCACATCAGAATCTAATGGCACAGATTGTACAAACTTCCTGTTTTTATTACGACTGTGACCCCGTTCCTTCCTTCCTTCCTGGCCTCCTTACTTCCTTCTCATCCTTTGCCTCCTGTCCCAACCCAACGCTTGTCTCCTGACCTGGGAACAAACAGGAGCAGAGCCTGTGCTCCACTTGCATGAATGATTGCAGAGGTCACGCTCAGTATACACAGTTAAAACTAATTAGATGCTCACTGTAGCAGATGTTAGTCCCCAGGTGATCTTAGTAAAGCAGAAGTTACATATTAAATGAAGTTGAAAGCTTTTCTCTGCAGTCAGTGATGTTTAGCAGACACGTTTTTATATGTCCATTTGTGTCTGTGCTGCTTCTAAAAAAAACACAAGCACTTAAAAAGCTGCTTTTTTGCCAATAAGTTAATCTTTTTTGGAGTCTGAAAAATGAGCCATGTCAAAAGCCTTCCTGCACCGTTACCTAGCAACCCCAGCGGAATTCTGCCTGTTACCTAGCAACCCAGGCAAAGCTCCAGTGTTTGCTGCATAATGGCTGCTGGAAAGGAAGAGTGTTTTGTTATTGACTCACCATCCAGAAACCACCTGCTGCATTCTTGTTGGTTGTGCAGGAGGCTCTACTAAGCCTTTTCAAAGATGTACGGTCGTATAATTGCGAATGTGTTTGCAGCCATTTTCACACGCAAGCGTTGGGTCTGGGGGCGTGGCCAGCAGCAGCTTTTGTTGTTTCATAGCATTTCATTATGAAAGGAGCTCAAAATAGGCAGAACTAACTATTATGTTTTATGCATCCTATAGACCTACAATTGCCTGTTCAAAACAGCATATTAGGTGGCTTTTAGAAATGTTATTTAAAACAAATGGCCTTGCCTTTAATCACTACAGTATCCACCGCTGTCAAGAGAAACGGATAAAGAGAAGGTGTGGGATCCCAAAGTGGGGTTCAAGATTCCTTATACTTACTATACGCTGCTCACCTGTAGCACTGAAGTCGGTGGGATCCAGTTCCAGTCCTCCTACATTCCCCATAGATTCTGTAAGTTCAAATTTCATTATGAAATTTGCAGAAAATGAAACATTTACTAACGTATTTTCCTTCGTTCTCCAGCTAAAGATATAAATGATTTAAAAGTTACACCAGATCGTGTCAAAGTGTTGGTTGGCGACACGCTTGTCCTTAACTGCAGCGGGGAGACCAGACCAAACGGAAGAATAAGATTCACCTGGGATTTTCCGAAGCTTAAAGTAAGCAAGGCCTGGCTTTGTAAAAATAACCGTCAAAACGTACAGTAATGATGCTTACGATGCTTTTTTCCCAGGAAAATCGATACCATACGACCAAAGCCGATCTGATACTTGGTCGTTTGAACAAAATGAGCAAGACGTTGGTGTTGCCAAACATAACAATGGAAGACAAAGGAGTGTATCTCTGCAAAGCTGCGACTGATGCAACAACATACCACAATGCTTCAGCTAGAGTAACTGTTTATGGTGAGCATGATGTAACAGATATGATACATTATTATGATGTAATGATATGAGAATAATTTGAATATTACCTATTGTTGGAGTGGGTTTCTGTCTTATTTATAATTTCTTTTCTGCTGCAGAGCATCCATTCCTCAACATATCTCATAAGCACAGCAGTAGCGGGATAGTGATTGTCAGAGAGGATACAAAGAAAATCGTGTTGGAGCCCAAAGTCAAAGCGTTGCCACCACCAGACGTGATTTCATGGTAAGAAAGCAAGTGGTACAAGGTTTCCTGGTCAGACGAGAACACGATTTGAAAACTAACACTGTTCGTCTACGGTGAAACATGGTGGAGGCAGCATCATGCTGTGGGTGTTTTGTTATCCATGAACCAGAAAAAGACTTGAAACTGGGGCAACAACATAGAAAATGTCTTGTTATAAGTAAAACAATCTGCCAGTGGAACCACTACATTAATCATTTACTTACAGCAAGCTTCTTTATCTTGCTAAAAAGTTATTAATAACTCATGTTTAGTGAGATGATTTGCACTGGACCAAAAATACTTGGTTAGATTGTGTTTGGTTGCAGTGAGAGGATGTTGATGATCTGCTGCACTACAAAAACACAAAATCGAATATTTTTGGTCTAGTGCAAATCATCTTAGTAAACTTGAAATAATACAAACTAAGTTAGTTTACTAAAGTAAGTTAGTAAGCGAACATAGTGGAGATTACAAGTTAGTAAACTTGCAAACTAACAGGTTAGTTTGCTAAACTTAGGTAACTAAGTCAACTTAGTAAACTAACTTAGTTTAATAACTTGTGAACTTACAATCTGGCTCAGATTATAAGTTAGTTTTGTCTTATTTCAAGAGTAGTAAGATAGTTGCACTTGGAACTAGACGAAAATACTTTAAGATTTTGTGTTTTTACAATAGAAATAAATTATTCAGTCATCATGACAACATGTTTTTCTCCCTCCAAATCTCAGGTACAAAGACGGCGTCGGCATTTTTAGGAATTCAACCTGCTACAGGATGTCTGGCTACAGCTTGTCCATCCTTGAACTGAAGCAGAGGCACTCTGGGGTCTACACAATAACCGTGGGCAGCCACGGCGTGTTCAGGAATCTGAGCTACACTCTGATCGTTGAAGGTAGGCCAGCGCTGCGCTGCGCTCTGAGGTAATGCGGACTGAGGCCCAGCTGCTCTGGACGGCAGGTAGCAGCTCCAGAATGAGAGGAATTTGGGGGCTTGTTGTTTCCAGCGCTGGATTGACACAGCTCGGGCAGCTGTTGTTGATTACTGAGGCTCTTCTGAAGGGGCTTGGGGCGGCGTGTAAACGGCCACAGCGCTATTGTGCTGCTCGCATGAGCACACACAGGCAGGGCTGCTCACAGAAACAAAATGTTCCATGCAGCAAGTACAAGGACCTGGATTTCAGTGTTTTGATGACTTTATGAGCGATGCTGATGGCCGTTAACACTTGAGGCTGTAAATATTTTGGGCCTGTTAAGGGTAGTCTGCTTTCTATAGAGAACAGAGAGGTGCTGCTTGCCATGGTGGGGGAGAGAGGGCGCAACCTTTTCTATTGGCTTCTTTAAAGTTTTCTGAGAAATCCCGATGGCGTGCCAAAACGTGGAAAACTCGGACCCCTTCTGGCGTGTGTAATCTTTATTTATGATTCTTGACTGTTAGACTTTGTGCCAGTTTTAGTTATTAGAATGACAAAAAAAACAAAGAAGTGCTCAGACAGAAATAAACAAAAGTAAATAAATATTTCTGGCAACGATTAGAGAACTATGTGGGTTTTGATGTTTGACATTATGAACGAGTTCTGGATGTTTGACGGATGGATGTGGGATATTTCACAGTTCATACTTCAATCTTGTACAACAGTTATTTAAGTAATCAATTATGCTGTCAATTATTCTGATGATTAATCGATTAATCGAATAAAAATTGGTACATTCTGCTTTTTTTCTTTTACCCACTTAAGCCTTTTCTTAAGGAACACATTTAAATATGTAAATAAACATTTCAGCTTCCTTTTTGATGATTAAAATTTTTTTAACATTTTATTGAAATGCAATAACAAAGCAGTCTTTTGGTGAAGACTTGATTTGTAGCAAAGAATGCATCTCCATCTAAAAAATACTTCCAACATCAACATGTGAAAAGCTCAATGCTTTCTGATCTGGTGATTATTTATCAATTAACTGATTAATAATTTTATTTTTTAAAAAAGGTGCTTAATATAAAATTTTTCAGATAAAAGACATTTACATGCAAAAGTTTTTGTATCCTAGACGCAAAATTTATATATTTTTTAACACAGTTTTTGTTGTATAACTGATCTCAGTATATTGATTTTTTTTCAGCAAATATGCTTTATGTGAGTCTATGTATTAATGATTAATCAATTACAAATTATTTGATGATTATTTCATTGATTGATTGAAGTATATTTATTTGAACTACTTACATCACTCTTACATTTATTTATATATCTATAAATATAAATAAATATATTACATATATTTATATATTACATTTTATCACATATGGTCATATTTCTCTTATTAACATTTAACATCTTGGATGCAGTAGCTTGTCAATTAATAAGCATTTTCAATAAAGTATATTCTTCTTTCCTCTAATCACAATTAATCAAAATAAATCATAATTAATCCTATTAGTCATTTCAGCCCTACAGCTTTGTGAATATTTAGGAGTTGATTAGTGATCTGGACAATCTACTCAGTTGGCACAAGTATCTTGATCTGCTGCTTGTTACACGGTTAAATCAATGACTGGAGCTTGAGGTCACAGAAAGGTCGCTCTCTGACCTCCAGCGTCCCGGATCTCCAGCCGTCCTGCCATTCTTCCTCTGCAAAGTGTCTAAAGGATAATTGGACTCAAAGATGCCGTTTTCCCTCTCGGCTTTCCGTCATGATCGTCGTTTTTCATTAAAAGACATTTTGGAATACCACAACCTGTTTTCTCTCTCTCTTTCCTCGTAGTGAAGCCGACTATTTCTGAGGCGGAGCTCTCCAACCAGGACGTGCAGCCCTACATGGCCGGCAAGCAGCATCAGCTGACCTGCACCGCCTTCGGCCTGCCGCTGCCCAGCATCACCTGGCTGTGGCAGCCATGTCACACCAGCACAACGGTGAACAGCGAACAGTGAGTCACCATCTTGGTTTTGTTTTCAGTCACGGTTCTTTAGCTTCCCGCTCGACAAAAAACTTTACTGGAAGCTTAAACATCAAGTTCACAGAGGTAAAACCAAATCAGTGTTCACTTTTTCTGAAACTTGGGATTTTCTACCAACTGTTTCTACCAACAGTCTTTTTTACCAACTGGTTCAGGATCATGATGGGACACAGATGATGCTTTCTGACACAGATCCCCGCTCACTATACACCAGTAATCCTGTGCTAACATGCAGCTTTTAAAGCAAAAGAGTAGCTTAAATAAACAGAAATCAGATCACTTTAAGAAAAATCTCTTCTAAAACTGTTTTTCATTTACAATAACAAGAATTTCATGTTCCAGTTCTAAATTTCAGAAAACAACTATAACAGATTTGTGCACAAACAATCATGATTCTCTTTTTTTATTAATTCAGAAAAAAATATTTGTTCTGAACTTTGAAAGAATATAGGTTTTTTTTTCTTTAATTTAAGCTGTAAGGACGGAATGAGCCAATAATGACCACGAGATTCACTACAAGTGTTTCCAAGTATCAGGAAACGCTTATAATAGGAAACTGAGTCACCGTTCCGCCCTGGGCAGCCAATATTGCAACACATCCACTCTGATTCAGCTCAGTCTGTCCCCAAAGATGACAAATATATCAAAACATGGAAACAGTCGAGAACTGCCCTCTCCTTTCTGGTCAGTAGCTCTGTGGGCTGAATGAGAAACATGGGAGAAATAATTTAAATCTCAGATTCCCGGAGCTGAGTGACTTTGCACAAATGCCGGCCTGGAAGTGAACCCGCGAAAAGAATAAATATTAGGACATTTACAGAGGTCCCGGCCTGTTGGGGGTATCAGCAAACGTTGGAGTGCTAAAATCAGCAAAACAATGGGCCATTACATTTGGCATATCCGCCTCAGACGACGCTGACAAAAACAACAAAGTGGACTGAAGGAGACTAAATTATGTTTCATGCTGGATGATTTTAATCTGCAAGTTTTTGCATTTTCTCCAAGAACAATGTGTGGTTTATAGATTTCTGATAAATCAAAGCTGAGGTTGAACAAAGTCTGTGTGCAGACCTAAGCATAATCGAGGCTGGCATCAGGAACAGTGGCTGCACTGTGGTGACCAGCTAATGAGACGGAGGAACAACTGCAGCCTGGTGGGGGGCCAATTGCACAAAAATGTTTGTTCTATGCAAGCGTCGCACAACACAGAATATGTCACTGTAAATCCAAAACGTGGCCCTTCAAGCTCAGACCTCAATCTTAACGGGGACGTATTTTACAAAACTTCTTCCATTTGGATCTCCACTGCTTCTCAAAAAGTCACAGCACTTAAAAAAAAAAAAACTAAAGCAGCCACATTTATTTTTTAGTGTTTGGAAAATTAGCTGTTTTTTTTTTTTAACTTTCTGAATGTAACTTCATAAATCATCAGGCACTTCCCCGTTACCTAGCAAACCCAGCAAAGGTCCAGAATGTTTGGTCAGCTGGTTTTATATGCTTTCTAATGCGAATTCAAAAATACTTTATTGATCTCGAAGGGAAATTAACTCATACTAATTCAAAGAGTTATTGTAGGCAGGAAAGATCTCTTGTAGCAGTCTGTGTTACAACAATTAGAGGAAGCCTCTGACTGAAGACTCTTTGCTTTCCTAAGATATGCTCTGCCTGAAAAGACAACTGTTTTGTTGTTGACTTGCCATCCAGAAACCACATGCTGCTTTCTTGTTGGTTGTGCAGAAGGCTTCACTTCTGCTTTTCAAAGACGTACGGTTGCACAGTTGTGAAACTGTTTGCAGCCATTTTCATAGGCGAGTATTGACATTAAATTGGTGGGCATGGCCAGGAGCAGTTTATTTGGGTTTAAAGTGAAAAGAGGCCCTAAAATTGCTCACAGGCGGAACTAAAATCTTCTGATCTAAGAATTATTTTGTGCAAAAACTGTAAGAAACAAGTTTTGTATTGCTCCTAAACCCATCCTAAACTGTTCAAGGAAGAATAATAGGTCACCTTTAATCTTTTGGAGAAAACTGGGGGGTTTAGAGGTGACAAGGGAGCAAAACATGAGGATGTCTTTATCACCAGGCTGAGGAGTTATCAGTTCTTCTCAGCTGACCGCTGAGGTTTAGGATCGGCCTTATCTCCTCAGCCCAGAGTGCAGTGATTCCTGTATGTGGCGGTGCTCAGCCCTTCCTGTCGCTACTGCTGCTTCCTCCTCTCCTTTTTGCCTCATCAGGTTAATTGTTCACCATGAGCAGTGAAGGGTTTCAGGGATGAGGGGTAGGGAGGTTGGCTTAGATCAAATTCTCAGACCCAGACCAGACCTGGACGGTTCCCAGATAGTGACCTCACTCCGTTTAATAAGAAACTTCTTCTTTGCATTTTGGGTTGTAGCTCATGATGGGCATCTTCATGTTTGATGAACACTGAAAAAAATGTAAAAGCATGGAAAGGCGTTAAACTCAACCCACATATGGAGGTTTTAGTCCTCAACGCAGCTGTTGCAGGTTTGATTCCCAGCCTGGTGACGTTTGCCACATGTCTTCCCCCTTCTCTCATTACCCACTATCAATTCACTATCATCATTCACTAAATGAAGGCTGCTAGAGCCAATAAAACAAACAAACAAAAAGCCTGGAAGGAAAAACAATCAACACAAAACAAAAGATTGGTGAATTATCCATCACAGACAAAAGTGGTGAATTCAAAGTCCACAGCTCAAATTTAGTTCAGAGAATTAAGATTTATATGATGTTTTTCCTTTAAGAAGTTGGAGACTTAGCAAACCAGAACCTTATAGATGGATTTTAAAAGACTCTGTAAGGAGTCCAGTCTCTCTGTAATCCACCGCATTGAAAACAAATTAATTTCCGTCAGAACAAGTCTGTTCTATAGTAGTGATTGATGCGAGTCTCACTTTCCTCTTCATTAACAGTATTTTACTCCTGAGATTTAAACCTAGATAATATTATTCTGACATCTTTCATGCGATTTAAATTCTGCTCACTGTTAGTTTCCTCATAAAAACACTTTTTACCTAAATAATCATTTCTAAGCTTATGGATATTTTGCACTGAGTGCAAACACATAAACAGCAGAAAATGTTGTGTAATTTACACTTTATGCTCACAAACAACAGCTGTGGTCTTGCTGTTTAGTCATTGCTTAATTTACCTTTCCTAATTCATTGATGTAGATCATCTTTGTTGCAAAACTGCTTGTTAGACCCACATCTAAATCACCATTCAGTATCTAGAGATTTTAAATAAAAAAGTCAAGGGGTTTTTGAAAAACACAGTTATGATCTATAAATGTCTCAACTGTTCTTATTTCTCCAGAATATGATGATATTTACTGTTTATCATAAGTTTGGATTACTGAAAATGCAACATAAAGAGTTTTAAAACGTCTTGTCTTTGCAGATGCCTCTCCGTCAACGATCCAGTCCCGGTGACGCTTAACGAACAAAGTAATAATTTCCACAACTTGATCAGCAGTATAAACGCCAAGACAGAACTGGTTCAAGAAAAAAACAAGGTGTGTACTGAATTATTCATTTTGAAACAGCTGATGATTAATTGGTTAATTTTGTAATCCTATGTGACCACAAACAACTAAACGCCCTCAGCTCTCTTGATCGACACAAAAACTGTTTATCTTCATCTATGCAGTTAAAGAGACGTGATTTATTCCAGGGATACTTAGGCTGCTTTATTGCTATAGGCATAAGGAAGCCTCAGCCAACTTAAACACAAAATTTCAACACCCAGTGACAGTTTCAGAGGGAGAAAAATATCTTCGGACCATAAAAATGCAGCAGAGAAAATACTTGCACTGCTTCTAACATCTGACTAACATCTGAATGACTTTTCGCTGAGTTCAAACACAAATGCACAGAGCTGCTGCGCAAGTCCATCTGATTCAAATGAAGTCTGCACGCATTCAGCCCTACTTCTTGAGAGAAATCACACTCTCAAACACGTGTGCATTTCATTTATCTGAGACTTGGTTGTGTGTTAAACACAGAGGTGTACATCCGTGCATTTGATGTCTAAACGGCTAGCAGTCAGCTAACCTCATTGCAAAAACACACAACTAGTTTAGTTTATAGTGACATTGCCTTATTGCACTTGAAATAAGACTTCAGAAAGATACTGGTGCTGGAAAAGACAAGTGTTTTGTTTTTGACTTAACATCCAGAAACCTCTTGCTGCTTTTTTGTTGGTTGTGCAAAAGGCTTTACACTGTAAAACATTTAAAGGTGGATTAACTGGAACATAAAATTCCACCTGCTGGCTTGAAAATGCAATTTAATTCAACAAGACAATTGTGCTCAGAAATTAACGTCCATGAAGCTGATTTAACAAGACACAAGTTGTGTAAAATATTATTTTCAAGTTCTGGTAACATTAATTATTCATTAATAAATGATTAATCTTGAATTGTGAGTTTTCATGTGATTTTGCAATTTAAACCAAATAATTATGTGTACATTTTGGGAGAAAAAAAATGTCTTCACCGAGTTAAAGAGCCACATTTCTCTATTATTTTTACTCACAATATCAAGTTAAAATTATTTATTTTACTTCAGAATAATTAAAATTCTTGTTTCAAATTGCATAAATAAAATTCCTGACTTCCTAACGCACTTCCATCTCAGGATACAAAAACATGCCGCTAAGCATTCTGGGAAATAGTTCTCACTCCTGTCTTTCCCTTCTTTCCTAAAAACTGGTTTCTTCTTGGAGGTTTGACAAAAGTTAAAACAACTCATCACTGTAAGTTTATCTTTCACAAACTCACATATTTAGATCAAAAATCTTAAAATCACTAAATTTATTTGACGTAAACAGTAGGAGATAGACTAAATGTTTTACAGTGTAGTTCTGCTTTTCAGTGCTTTATGGTTGTATAATTAATTTAATTCTGAAATGAACTCAAAATAAGCAGAACTGGTCATCTAAGAATAATTTTGTTAAAAAAAATAAAACGTATAATGAACAGGTTTTGTGTGGCCCATAAATAAACCCTAACCTTTTAGAGGAAGAATAATAGGTCATCTTTAATTAACTGTAAATTTATCAAACGCACAGTGCATCACTTCTAATATTTCCTTGACATAAATGGGGCGGCATAACTAATTTACACATGCTTGTGGCCAGTCGCTGGTATTTTATGAGGGTTAGGACTGAGGGTCAATGATAACAAGCCGCGGTTTAAAGAGCGAGGGATTTGTTGGCAGCAAATTCCTCTCTGTCAGCCCACATAAATCGTGCCGACCTGTGAATAAGAACACAGTCGGGGCCGGGCCTCGGAGCGGCGCAGCGGAGAGGCGAAGCTCGCCCAACTCACAGTATGAGGGAAGGCATAGGCCTGGGGGGGGAGGCATGCAGGTCACAGTGCGTCTGGTCAGGTCACCTCTTGAGGAGTGTGAATGTTTTCAATCTCAGGTTGCATCATGGAGGGTAACATAATACGATAAGACCATGTTTTTACAGATGACATTTCAGCATGGATTGGTCGACACGACCCAACTTTAATCTTTCAGTGCTGCCTGGACGTTTTAAGGGGCTGAAATGGGTTAATGTAGTCTGAGAGCGAACACAATGGCAGTCCAGGAAGTTATGATCCGGCATACACCAGACAATCCTCCTCATTGTAGCTCAGTGCATGCCAAAGAAAACAGATGTTCCCAAAAATGTTAAACACAACCCACAGCCATCTGGCTCTCGTCCAAGCTGCAGTTATTATTTTGTCTATCTAAGCCATTAAAAAGTTGTATTTTTTGTAAATTTAGTATGTCATTAGTGCTGCTTTCCAGGAAATACACACAGTGCCCAGCTCTAGGCCTGTAGGTTTGAGGGTGACTCAGTGGGCTTTAAAAGTCCAGATGTATCCGTTCATTAACATCAGGACTCTGATGAATGCACACTGACATCGACTAACGCAGGCAAGTAGTGATTGGACAGCGATTAGGTGAACATAAAATGAAAATCTAGAAATCTTCTCTGGAAATGTTGGAACTTAAAAATGGAGAATCTGTGTTGACATTGAGATTAAATCACACAGAAACTGGTTGGAGTTTTGATGATCTCCCTGTGAATGGATGGATCCTCTCTGGGTACTCCAGTTTCCTCTCACCTTCCTAAAACATGTTAACTGGTTGATCTAAAGTCTACTGACTTACACTGGATTCCAGCTTGTGATAAAACCTTAATGGCTAAACACAAAACCATGCCGAATTTTTCACATTTTTATTTGTATCACGTATCATTTTTCTTATACAAAATCACACTATATTTTTCTCTTTTCTTTGGATAAAAAAACAATGTATAAAAAATAAGACTCATAAAAAAGGAGGCTGGGTTAAATACATTTATATTTTTATATTTAGATAACTGTCCAAATAATTATCTAATATATATTACACTATTTGAATTATGAATGTGAACATGTTTGGCATAAATAAGTGAACTAAACTAAACTAAATTGAACAAAAATAAAGTTAAATAAAGTAATTTAAATTAAACTGAACCAAAGGAAACTAAACTAGAGTAAATTGAACTGAACTAAACTAAACTGAAGTGAACTGAACTAAATTGAACTGAACTGAATTAGAGTAAATTGAACTAAAGTAAAGTGAACTGAGTAAAGTAAATAAAAGTGAACTAAATATTAAATTTGACGACTTGCAGCTTTCTTGGTGACAGAAGCGTAAAAGGGAATATTCTTTATAATTCCGATAATCTGTTTAATTATTGATTTTAATCTGAATCATCTCTCTAGACTGTGAGCACGCTGGTGATCAGAGAGGCTCGCGTGTCTGGACGTTACTTCTGCCAGGCCCAAAACAAAATCGGCACTTTCCGCATGACTCTCCCATTTTACGTTGACGGTAAGTGTTGCTCAAAAAAAAATCAATCAGAAATAGTTGCAGCACTAATTGCAAAGCGCTGGATTGTTTCAAATGAACTGCAGTGCTCGCTTTAATGAACTGCAAGAGCAGGAAAGGAATGCACAGATTGTGTTGTGCAATAAAGAGACCAGAGGGGGGCATTAATTGAAAACATCTTCCACTGGAGCTGAACGGCCTGAAAGGGGGGAAGAGAGGCGAACGTGTCCTGAGCCATATGGGGCGCTGTAACGGCACGCGTTTAAAAACAACTATGAATAACTGCATTCCTGCTCCGGTGCCAGCAGGTCATTCCTCTTTCTCTCTCAGCCTGTGTGCACGAGTGCGAGTTTACTTTATATGTGCATCGGAGCGTTTCCAAATGTTCCCCAAAACGTCGTCTGTTGAGACGATTACGTAATAACAGCAGGGCTGAGGTGTTGGAATAAAGCAAAACACTTTTTTATTTTTTTAATCAAACTTGAGCAAATCACTTGTCCTCATGAGCAGAAAAACATTTTAAAAATTGAGTAACCTGCAGGGTAATCCGATCCCCAGGAGGCACCCGGCTCTCCTCCAGAGAGGAGGAAGATGGAGAAAGAAAAAAAGAGAAGAGGACAATTGTAATAACATCTGCCTTCAGAGGACAGAGAATGCTTTCCAACAAAACTGAATAAACAAGCACAGTCTGGTTCCCATGGGTCACATAGTCAGTCTCGCTCCAGTTGGAGCGCAGAAGTGCCGTCAGCCACGCTTTTCGCCAACGTGCTTCCAATTAATGGTGATTAAACAGGAAACAACTTCAAAATTGACATTCCTTCACTTCTGACAAGCGGTTTATGGTTTAAAGAGCACGACTAGTGCATCATGCTGCTGACAGCTGAACACATTTGTAGCTGGGGAAGATTTATGAAGATGATGCAAAGTTTTCTTCTGTTTAGATGAACCGGAGGAAGTCGCCATCGAACCTCGAGCAGCCATAGAGGGAGACGACGTCACTCTGACCTGCAGGGCGACCCGTTACCTCTACACAGGCCTACGGTGGCTGGACTCCACGAATAAAACAATCACCACCGACGTGTCCAACCTCCGGGTGGACCAATACTCCATTTCCATGTCTCTCAATGTGAGCAATGTGTCCGAAAGCAGCACCGCAGGGTATCGGTGCCATGCATACAAGCTGCAGAGACCGAAAAAGTCCAAAGTCAAGATGGCCGACTTGGAGTTGAAAGGTAGGAAACAACATTTCCATCCTGTCTGAGAGAAAGAACCACAAGACAGGATCTTAATTTGAATAAAAATAGCTGATGTGTCAATAATTAAATATATAACTAAGTTAACATACATGAAATGTTCTCCTTAATGTTTAAATCATATTTATATTTATTTTATGGTTCCTGTGCCAAGAAATAATTTAAACTTTCACTGCAGGTTTTTAGGTAAACTTTAACATTTGATTGGTCGACCTGAACAGCCCCGCCCACAACTTCTGAGTATGTGTAAAATTAATTCAGCATGTGTCACAACAGGACAGTGTAATAATTAAACACTGGAATTGGTGCACATGATTTTTGTGAATGAAAAATTATTTATTTAAGCTATGCATTAAGCTCATACTGTATGTTGCTTTTAACTATTTATATTACGTTTTACAGGGCTCCAATAAAGACCACATAATTATTTTACTAGTTAGTTTCAAGCTAACAAAGAACAAATTGATTTATTCTGATAATTTTGGCACTTTTGGACTTCCATACTGTTGCTTACTCCAGCACAGGTTGTTTTCTCTAAACTAATTGCAGCTCTGATTCAGTTTTCTACTCATTTTGATGCAGAGCGGAAGCGGCCATTGCTCAACCAGAATCTGACCAATCTGGACGTGAACAGCAGCAGCACCCTGATGTTGGGTTGCTTTGCTTCGGGGGTTCCTCGTCCTCTGATCCGGTGGTACAAAAATGGTGTCGAAATGGAAGAGAGTCCAGGTATTTTTCAGAATAATGTCACACGAGATGATATGATGCAAATGTTGTGTTTTTAATTGTAAAGTATCAATGGATGCAAATTTTGTTGGTGGTATTTGTGAGATGCTGAGATCATTTCATCTGCACATCCTGAGTGTAACGAATCATGCTTTTCATATTAAAATACCACAATCAGCTCAAAGCTTTGTGCTGCAGGGGTTTCGCTGGGAGAAAACGGCACCCTCATCATCGAAAGGGTGAAGAAAGACGACGAGGGCCGGTATGAGTGTGTGGCCCAAAACGCAGAGGGATTCGCCAAAACGAGCGCCGTCATCACCGTGCTGGGTGAGTCCGACTCTCTGCAGGGAGAGAGGAGAAAAACATCAGATCAAACAAACCAATTAGTCCAAGCAGCAAGGCCGGAGCTTTTTTCTTTTCTTTGTTTTATCTCCACATCCCAGTATATCAAAGAGGCCGTTCTGGCCTCCTGTTTTCTTTTCATCACTGCAAATAGCTTTGGCCTGACTTTAGTGAGGAAAAATGGCCCCTGACGGAAAACTGGCAGCTGCCAGGAATGCCAAGTGAATTCCTTCATGGGTTTTATGATCAAGGTTTGGCTGTGAGCGTTTCTCCAGAGGACAAAACCTCTGTGGAGCGTCAAGAGTGTCACTAGTGACTCTTAAAGGCTGCACTGTGTTTTACAGTACGGCGTAAATTTTGATCAGCAAGAAATCCAAAAAGTGGATGAGTTTAAATATCTGGGTGTCATTCTAGATTCTCATCTTAACTTTGAGGAATTTGAGAGCAGCCTAAACTGTTTTTATGTTATAAGATCATTGACTTTTAAATGTCTTGTCATGGAGTCAGTAAGCAGAATGATATGAAGAAAGGAGTTGAAACTAGAGGTGAAATCAACAGAAATAAAACATTCAGTTCTGAAAAAAATTAAGACCTTTTAAAATGATCAGTTTCTCTGATTTTACTATTTATATATTTGAGTAAAATGAACATTGTTCTTTAATTCTCTGAACTACTGACAACATGTCTGAAAATCCTTGTAAAAATGTAGCATTTGTTTGCAGAAAATGAGAAATGGTCAAAATAATGAAAAAGATGCAGCTCTTTCAGGCCTCAAATAAGGCAAAGAAAATAAGTTCACATTCGTTTAGAAACAACAATACTAATGTTTTAACTCAGGAAGAGTTCAGGAATCAGTATTTGGTGGGAAAACTGGGAGGTTTTCAGTGGTTTAGTGCAGCGGCTCTTCATCTTTTCCAGAGATGTAATTTGGAGATTCCTTCTCAATCAGAGATCTCAGATCTGAAAAGCAATAAAAAGTGTCTTTAATTCCCAGGTGAAAAGATGGCTGAAACTAAAACTAAATTGGTTTCAGTCAACACTGACGTTCCAACCAGCTCTGCTGTGGATAAGAAGCTTTTTCATATTTTTCTGGGCCTGGATTTGCAAATTAGCCCAGAAAACATATCAACAAAACTGAACTGCAAATAGAACGAACATAGAGAAGAGACTCCAGTTAACAATTAGTTGACTGTTATTTCAATTACAGACTCATCACAGTAAATCTGATTAATTGTTTCAGCATAAGTGATCAGCAGGGACAAGGAATAAATTAGAGGAGCTAAGGACTGTCTTAGCACCGTCAATCAATGTTGTGAACGTGCTGCTAAATGTGCTGATGACGGAGAAACAACTCACCCATACAGGAAAATCATTTATTCACCATTATTGATGCTTATGCTAACCCTGCTGAAGCTCTATTGTAGCACAGAGCATGATTGACAGCGCTAAGACCCGCCTCCTGGCTCTGATTGGTTAATTGGCACATGAGCTTGATTTATTTATGTTCCTCAGTTTATTTGTCTGATATTATACTATCACTATAGTGACAGTTTCAGCAAATATGTAAAAATCATTTTTTATTATAACAGTTACTGCAGCTTTAAGATTTTAAAATGGATCCCATTCATCCAATTTTGTGAAGACCATCTTTAGACATTTCAGTCAGTAGAGGAGCATCTTATTTCACAATTATATGCTACTTTGTCCCAGATAAATACATCCCATTACGTAGTTGCATCGTGAACAAAATGTGGAAAAGAGTAATTTTGCACAACACTGCAACTGATTAAGCCTCTTTCTTTAATCAAGATTTATAGTTTCTGTGTGAATGTTAGTTGGAGACTGGAAAATAAACGGTTAGTGATTGCACGAATTACTTCAAAAACAATGTTTGAAGGAAAAATCCTTGGAAGAACTGCGGTGTGTTTGTTCCACGCAAAAATGTGATTCCACCTCCTTTTCTTCTGTACATCCACAGGAAAACATCCAGGAATTAAACAAACAATGTCTTGACATAAAAGCCTTGGTGACTTCAGGCAACAACTGTGACTTTTATTTGTAAATTTGCAACAGACGGTTTAGGTTTTGATTGCAAATTCTCCAAATACTTCCTTGTTAGCAATCGAATTGAAAAGCGTGCATCGATTGACGACGGCTCTTCTCTTTCCAGGAGATGAAAGCAAGTCAAACATCGAGGTCATAATCTTGGTTTGCACCGGAGCTGCTGCCACGTTCCTCTGGATTATGCTCATCCTGTTCATCCGAAAGCTGAGGAAGGTAAGAGCTTTAACTCTGTGGAAACCAGTTTGGATCACAGACATTACTAACCCATCCTGGCTGTGACACAATGTACCACTGAGTGATACATTTAGCTGGATTTCTAAATGTTTGGGTTCTGCTGAGTCATGTGGAAACAAAACATCTCAGCCTTTTTTTTTCTCCCTTATCGCTCAAAATGAAACCTAAGATGTAAGAAACTATTAACTAAGAACTTATTTAAGTGCTGACAGAGCACTAAACAGAAATAAAACTAAAGCAATTGGGCCTGAAGAGGAACAATTAATAGTCAACATGCATTATCAGCAGTTTTAGTTACACTGTAAAAGGTTGTGTCATTTCGTTGTTTCTGCTCTTTAAATCAAATACATTTTGGCAGTTTTTGATTTTGAACCTAAATGTGAAAGATAAACGTAGAGTAGCGAGTTGGGTTAACATTTTATTAACTTTTCCAAACCTCCCAGAGTTGAATAAACTTGAGTTTTTAGGTTGGCACTTAGGAAAACTGAAAGAAGAAAAAAAACAGGAGAGGGAACTATTTCCCAGAATGCTTAGCGGCAAGTTTTTGTATCCTGAGATGGAAGTGCGTTACATTGATCTGACTCTTGTGTTTTATTAAAATAAATGTTTATTTTAAAGCGGATAATGTTCTATTCACACTAAATGTTATTGAATTCGTTGTGATGTTTAATAAAATTAATTATCATATCAGAAATTTTGTTCCTGCAATTTGAAACAATAATTTAAATTATTCAAAGGTAAAATAAGTAGTGAATTTAAAGTGAAGTGTCTTCTTGCTCAAATGTTTTAATCAACTAAACTAGATAACAAAAACTATAGACACTAGTTATGATTCTTCTGTTGCCTTTTCAGCAGCCAGCACACTATAAGATGGGTCCGTCTATCATCATTGATCCTGATGAGTATCCTCTCGATGAGCAGAACGATCTTCTTCAGTACGACAGCAGCAAATGGGAGTTTCCTCGTGACCGCCTGCGTCTCGGTGAGCTGCAGTAACAAAAAATAAATTCAATATATCAAATAAAAAAATACTTTAACACAGTCTCTGATTTGTTTTTGCATAGTAATTGTTATATAATGCATTTATAGTCATGAATTTATCATTTTTCCCAACCAAAAGAAAGCTTATTATGCGTCACTGATCCATTAAATATGCTAAAGTAAACTTCAAAAGGTCTTTCAGTTCTGAACATGATTGAAAGCAACAGGCTTATAAGTTTTAGAACATTTATACTATTAGGGCCATTAAAGTCACAAATGGGACATTTGGGACATGTGAGTCACTGCAATGTTTAACATAGGGTCAGTTTTTGCTTGACAATACGTCTGTAGCGGTGCAACGTGAGATCCCAAGGTGTGAGTAACCCAAACACTGAGCTGAGCAGAGGGTAGAGCTGTGACTCACTCGTCCTAATTGCCTTAACAGCCCAATTAGTGTCATGACTGCAACTCATAATCCCGTTTCTGGCAAACATGTTTAAAACTAAAGACGTTTTTTGAACGAAAGGTGAAAAATCCACAAGAAACATTAGAAGTAGTCCAGTCCTCCTCTGCTTTATTGCTTAAGAGTCTCAGTTTTCCACTGAAGGGTAAGAAGGCAAGTATAGGATTCAGTTTGGAGGCTTTTTGAAAACAGTGCCAACTTTTTTAAGAGGCAGAAATCTTGAAAATCACGTGTCATTTGCCAATTTTTAGTGTTTAACTGCATGTGCATGCCACGACTCTTAAATATTTCCACACCTTTGTTGGAAACTGAATGTTTTGTCCCGTTAATGTGACACCTGCCCTGCACAACTCACATAAAAAACAAACACATTTGTAGCAGAAAATTTAATGCACAAGTGCACGCTTAATTACACCTGCTTCTGAAGCACCTTTTGAATCACTTTCATCATTTAGCATTCTTTATTTTACACCAACCATCAATAGTTTGAACATTTGCATTGCCAAGATAAAGTCAGTTTGTAGAAAAGTGACAAATAATCAACAGGATCTGATTGTATGAAGCTTCAGTCAAGAGAAGAGGATAAATATTTATTTGTTTGAGATGATCTGTCAGGAAAAACATTTTGAAGGGGTAAGAGGTAATTGTAGAAGTCGTTCATCGTGAGCGCCATTAAGATGGATGGCAGAGGTGTCGCATCGCTCTGCAGCTGCACAGTTGAGTCATCACTTAACACTGACCTGCACTGTCAACTCGGCTTAAGTGCACCATAAATTAATCTCTGAACACAGAATATCAAAGCCCCCGTTTGTTTTCTGCAACCTTAGCTTTTGTTTTTCTTTGTATGCTTGGTTATTTATCCCCAGGGAGTCTGATTTAAATCCTCTTCTGACATATTTGATTTCTTTATCAGGTAAAACTCTCGGCCACGGAGCTTTTGGAAAGGTCGTCGAGGCTTCTGCTTTTGGGATTGACAAGCTCTCAACATGCAAGACTGTTGCAGTAAAAATGCTTAAAGGTAGGAATAAAACAGATTAGAGAGGGTTAAGTGAGCAACCAAATTAATTTCTCTTCTCAAAAAAACATGTGCAACTGGTGTTTGTGCGACTTAATAGTTCAAAGCAAAGAACGAGAGATATGTTTGTTGCAGAGGGAGGCAGAGCGAAAGGCTAAGACCTCTAACCTTGAAGTTAGAGGTCTTAGTTTGAGTAAGCGTTCTTCACATCTGCAGGTGAAGAAAAGTTCAAAAGTGCAAGAAATGAGAGCAAAACCATCAACAAATCTTCAAACTTTCTTATTCTATTCTTTGGAAACTTGTCACAAGTTTAGTTGTGGTTTAAAGTATTTTAAATGTCCTTCACTTTTTCAAATATTTCCAGTGAGTTACATCTGCATCAAAGTTAAAAGGCATAAAACAGGCAGCTAAATTAATCATTACACATTTTTCTTTCCAGTTTTAGTTAACCAATAGACCAGAAAGTGAATATCAAACAACAACATTACGGCTCTCAGCTGCGCTTATTGTCTTATCTTTGTGAATCGTGTCTGGGCATAAATCACAGGCTCAGAGGAAAAGTGGACGCAGGTCAGATTTAATGGAAAGCAGCAGCTTTGTGACTTCAGACTGCATGGCTGCTTTCGTCTCATAAATCTGATGTTGGTCAAAGCTGCAGACTAAAAGTCTTGATTTGTATATTTCAAGACATTGTTATTGTTTAAATTTACCGCAATCAGATACGTAATCTAAGCTCACATGCTTATCTTATTTTTGTCTGGATTTATTTGTTGGAGTTGTGATTAGATCTATTAAGAGCTGCTTTACAAATCCAGTAAGAATGTATCCTTTATTTATCTTAGTTTTTTATCCAGTTTTGTCTTCATACTTGCAAATTGCAAACGTATCTATTTCACACTGTAAAAAATCCATGAAACTAACAACAAATTTAATCTTTGAGCTCTCAAGCATTCAGAAACTTTTTTTTAATCTTCATAAAGATACAGATTAAAGTAAACAAGTTGCAAACAGAAAGTGAAAAGCAATAAATGAAGATTGAAAACTGTAACTTATAAACATAAATCTGTTTCTCTTCTAAAAGACAAACATTTTTAGGAAAGTTTCCATGAAGGTTAAAAAACCGGTGTAATGATATTTGCTGAAATTGTCTGTTTTTGCAGGTGGCGCCACATCGAACGAGCGTAAAGCTCTGATGTCGGAGTTAAAGATCCTGATCCACATCGGAAACCACCTGAATGTGGTCAACCTGCTGGGAGCTTGCACCAAGCCCGGAGGTGAGCTTTACACTGCAAAAACACAAAATGTCACCAAGTATTTCTGGTCCAGTTTCTAGTGTAAATATCTTGAAATAAGAAAAACTGGCTTAAAAGTTACTTTTCAGCAAGAAATAGAAGTTGGTGTTAAATAATTCCTTAAAATTAGGGAAATGTACTGGTTCTACTTGCAGATTATTTCACTCATAACAAGGGAAAGATGCTTTATTATAAGTCAAATAAGCTACCAGTGGGTTTGATGTTTTTTCATAAACATTAAGGAATTATTGACTCTAAATAAGCTCCTATTTCTTGTTGAAAAGTTACTGTTAAGTTAGTTTGTCTTATTTCAAGTGTACTGACATGTTAGAAAAGTATAGCACATAGAAGATGCTTAGAAGAAATAAAATAAGATCTACTTCTGACATACCAACAGTCTCTGGAGCAAAGGCAACTTCACACTGAATGTTAGAGAGATGAGAGGGACGGCTGGTCTTCTCACTGTGGGGAGCTATAAAAATAAAATAAACAAATATAAAAGTAAGGAGTATATCGAACATCTTACTTAAATCCACATTTGGAAGTCCAATTCCAATTTAATAAATGTATTACATTCCCATATCTTAAGATTCATATTTGTAGTAGAAACTAGTAACTAAAAATTACGAAAGTAATTCAGATCGTCAGACAAATGGAGGAACGACACGTTTGTTTGTAACCTTTTGTAACAAAGTACGTCTCTAAATACATCAACTGCTGGAAATGCATTCACTCTGTTTCAACTACATTGTACTGAATGTAAAAACAGAAAAACTCATCATTTGTGTTAAAAACCAGCCTGTTCTACGTTGTGTAGTAATTTCTATTCTGGATACTATTACTGTATAATTCAAAATAATTTTGTGCTGGGGAAAGTGATCAAAATGGTGATTTGTTTGAAAAAGCAGATAAATATCAACATTATAGATGCAAAAAACAGAATCAATTACTTGGTTAAAAAATATATTTTGCCAAAATATCAAATAATGAATGCATTAATTTACTGATATATGTGTCAAAAATAATCTATATGCATGTTTTAAAAGAAGTACTTACTCTTAGATAATTGATTTCTTTTTGATCTTGGCCTCTCATATATTACGTTTCCATCTTTGTCCCTTTTTCTCCACCTTACTGTGGGTTTAGGTCTCTGCTTAGGTGCTTGACGCTTAGGTACATTTTTCTTCAGATCAGCAATCAAGTCATCAAGTTGTTGAAGCTGGAAATTTAATTTTTGCTGACGTATCTCATGATCCAGGGCCATTATTGGATCAGGGATGTTTGAGACACTCATGGTGACAGATGGACAAACAGACAAACAAACAAACCAACAAAACAGTTGACAGATTAAATGAAGAACAACAGACTAAGGACACAAAGATGACAAACAGATTTGACAGACGTGGCTCTTACAAGTGCCTTTTGTGGGAGCTATGAAGGAGCAGAAATATATTTGTGAGTTGATGAGATCAAAGAAGAACCTGTTGACATAAAAAAAGAAATGTTCAGATTTCAGAAGTTATTTATTCCAACGTAGACATGTGGAGAAAACTTTGCCTGTAATGACCCAAGTTCGTTTTTAATTCAAGTACATGACCTAGCTGCAATCAGTGTATTCAGACACAGGCTCGTAGATAAAACTTTAAGGATCATTACAGCCTAGAGGCTCTGGTGTTTATAGCAATCCTCAAATTTTACAACAAGCATGACTATAGACAATTCTGTGACTCTATCATGGCTAGTTAAATGTATTAAGTGCAGGTTTAGGTGAACTCTCTGGGCTCCAAGAGGCTAATGTAGCTAGCTTCCCGCGTATTTCTCCCGGCAAAAAAATACTAAACATGTTACAAACGTGTCTAAATGTCTTCAACCATTCGTGGCACATTCCTACTGCTATTAAGTCCTAAAACTGCAATCAGCAACTTTATAACGTAACATTCTCTAGTATTTTTTTGTTTGTTTTATAGTATAAAACCATTTCTGACAGATTTAGGTTTGTACTCACCGGGGTGCAATGTCGCATGCGATGACGTCAGCCGCTTCTTCTTCTTCTTCTTCTTCTTCTTTTGTTCTTCTTTTTCATCATCATCTTCTTCTTCTCTTATTCTTAGATTTATAGACGGGTGAGATCCCTGACTCTTCTTAAGCATTTTTAATAAAATTCTTTTCACTAATAATGGACTGCAAACAACTTCGGAGGTGCATGCCACTATTATAAACTTCAAATAACATACGTATTCGTTTCTTTTTCATTGTTATGTACAATGACAATATTACGTTAATTACAATCATCAATTTACGATGACATCAGTGAAACTGGTGTCATTCTACCATATTACAATATTCGTGTCTGTTGTCAAAAAATAAGCAGAAATGAAGATAAAATCGCGGCTTAAGAGAACCGGAGGATCTATTAAATTGGAAGTAAAATTAACTAGATTGTTAAAAACCTACAAATAAATCAGCTATGCACGAATTGTGTGCCTTTTGCAAAAATAGAATAGACTCGTCATCTTATTTGTTCCTGGAGAGGTGCAGCGTTCAATGAGAGACGCAGGGTTACCCGATGCGTCAAAATGTGACGCTGAGGGAACCTGCCCCAGCGTCGATATATGACGAGTCGGGAGTGAGAATGTGTTGCACATGCAGAGGGTGTTTAGAGATAATCAATAATCACAAGAACTGTGTTTAACAGGACATTTAATGATGATTGTGGAGTTCTGCAAATACGGCAACTTGTCCATCTATCTGAGAAGCAAAAGAGACGATTTTCTTGTTTACAAGGTGAGCTTACTTCTTTCTCTTCATGCACTGCAAAAACACAAAATCTTACAGGACATTTTCCCCAAGTTTTAAATTAAAATGTTTTGTTCCACTGGCAGGTTATTTTATTTATAGTTAATACTTTTGTAGGCATTTTTGACTTAAAACAAGCTACTATTTCTTATTAAAGTTTGTTTTGTCTTATTTTATGTCGACTAAGAGATTTGCACTAACAAGGAAACCAAAATTATTCAGTATGGTTCTTGTAAGAGTAAAAGGGTATTTGGTAAAAAAGTCAACTCAAGTACAGAGTAACTGATCAAATTATCACAATTTTAAAATTACATAATCAGGTGATATAGAGTCAAATGGAAATTTTGGTATTTTAAGGACCAAAATTACAATAATTTATATGAATAACTTAAAACAACAAAAACAGGTAAATGACTTTTTTTCCAAATCAGTTTATTTCAATAAAAAATTGATTAAACTTTAGCAGAAATTGCAGCTGTGAGTCTGAGACTGGTGAAGTTTTTGGTTAAAACATGTTTGTTTTTCATTCAGTGGGGAGAAAATCCAAAAACTGTATTAAATCAGAGTAGAAATACTTCATAATAAAATTACTATAAAGTAAAAAAATACTCCTAAAAGTAATTTTTTTCAAAAACTAGTTACTTTCCCAAAAAGTTACTTATAAGTTAATTTTGTCTTATTTCAAGTAAGTAAGATTTTTGTGCACTAAAAGCCAAAACTAGTTTGTAAGATTTTGTGCTTTTGCAGTGTGATCCTTTGATCCAAACATGAATCAGCTGCAGTGTTTAACTCTGTGGTTCACCTTCATGCGGTCGGTCAGCGTCAGGACGGTAAGGTGCTGTCGGCGGGATCGGGCTGCGAGCTGAGCGAGCTGATGAAGCGTCGCCTGGAGAGCGTGGCCAGCACCGGAAGCTCAGCCAGCTCCGGCTTCAATGAAGATAAGAGCTACTGCGACTCGGAGGAAGAGGAAGAAGGTAAAAGGGCCTGTTTCTTTAACGAGAGCTCCCCGCAGATTGTTTTCAGGTCTGATGGGACGTTTCCTCCCCCTGTCCGGCAGTACAATCGCTGCAGCGGGAGCCGCTGTCACCCCACTGAGTCTGGGGAGGCGTCTGTTTGTTTCCTGTCGGGCTCAGTGTGCCGGCCTTTTTATTTCCGAAGTGTTATTTCAGATCCGATTAGCTGTTTACTCAGGTGGAGAGGTGGAAGGACTCCTGAGAAGACAAGGGTCATTACCACACGTTTCACCTGACATCTTGTTAAAAAACACAAAAGAAGCAGTTTTGATCTCTCATCTGTTTAAAAGAGGAGGAAACGGGACATCACTTTAAGTTGACTTGTTGTCTTTACATTTGTTCCTCCCACGGGAAGTTTTATCTTGTCTGATTTATCTGGCAGGTGGACGAGGCTGACTACACCGAATGCTTTGAAAAACAGTCCTAGATGAGGAGATGTAGCTGCTTTGGATGTTTGAAAACTCACCCTAGATGGAAAAACACTTTATGCTTTTCATTTTGCAGAACCGGAAGATTTATACAAGAGAGTTCTGACGCTGGAGGATCTGATCTGCTACAGTTTTCAGGTTGCAAAGGGCATGGAGTTCTTGGCGTCACGCAAGGTATTTCCTTCTGCAGTCGCTTGTTTAGCATAAACAATTTGAGACCCAATTCTCATTTTAAAACATGACATGGATTTATGTGATGATGTCAAGTTTAACTGAGAAAATGTTGAAAAGTGTGTTTTGCATATGTTTTCTGAAAGCAAACGTACATAATATTCTTGTCTAGTTTCTAGTATCTTAGTACATTTGAAATTGACAAAACTAACGTGGGAGAAACTTTTCAGCATTAAATAAGTCAATAATCCCTTAATATTGATGAAATGGTACTAGTTCCAGATTATTTCACTTTTAACAAGACAATTTTCCTAAATTGTAAGTCAAACAATATCCCAGTGAAACTAATTCTTCTTCAGTCAATAACAAAAAAAATTGATTGACTGAATACAAACTCCAATGGGATCATAAATGAGTTTTGCACATTTTCCTTGTTAAATACAAAACATTTAGTTTGCTCATTATTTTTGGTCTCGATTGGAAAGAGTGAAAAAACATTTTGTCTGTTCGCTGCAGCAGAAACAGGATCTGTGTCAGAAAACACTTCCTGTTTTTGGCTGAGTTTAGAAAGCAGATTTAGGTGCATAACTCAATAAGTCCTTGTTAACATAAAAATATTTTTAAACTTTGTGTTCCCTCCACCATTTTTGTGAGCAGATTTTAATTTAAAAGTTTAATCAAGTTAATCAATTTGTGGTTTCTTTGTGGCTGGAGGGGGCCGCATAAAGTCAGTCCAGAGGCCGCAAGTGGCCCACATGCCTCAGGTTGAACACCCTTGGCCTACAGTGACCGTGCCGTTGCTGCTTTGACCCACTTTCAGCTGTTTTCTGGTTAATGTCTCCCCTGAGGTTTGTGAAGGATGCCAGGCTTGATCCCATTCATAGTTTGGGGGAGACCGGATGAAACTGATTAGAGAAAAATGCTATTGTTGTAAAACACCTTCCACAGAAGCAAAAACAAAAAATCCTGCAGCACTATTACTGATCTCTTCACCATATGTCTATCCTGCCCTGTTGTTTGCATGCCAGTTTGGGGAGCCTGACATTCTTGTGTTCAAATTGTTTCAGTCTGAGCGAGTTTTCCTCTCTGTCATCAGTGCATTCATCGGGATTTGGCTGCTAGAAACATTTTACTGTCTGAGAACAATGTGGTGAAGATTTGTGACTTTGGGCTGGCCAGAGACATTTATAAGGACCCGGATTATGTGCGCAAAGGAGATGTAAGTTTATTTTTAATTCAGTAATTTACACAGATGTCTCCGTTTAACAGTTAGTTGCTGCAGAGTTGGCAGGAAAAAAATGACATTTTGAGCTCTGCTAAATGATTTCAGGGTGAAAACTTTAATTTTTATGTGTAGTACCTGCATGGATTAATAAGTTTGATATACAAATAGGAGAGAAACGTGAACTTGCATCAATCATTGTTTACAGGCCAGGCTGCCGCTGAAGTGGATGGCTCCTGAAGCCATATTTGACAAGATCTACACAACCCAGAGTGACGTTTGGTCCTTCGGAGTCCTGATGTGGGAGATCTTCTCTCTAGGTGAGTGTCACCAACCCATAATGCAGTGGATTTTATGTTAAATTATGATTAATCACACTTTTAGGAAAGCTAAGTTTAATTTTACCAGCCACATCCAGGCCTGATACCTCAGATTTAAAAGATTAATCACAATTAATCTCTCTAATAATCATCAACAAATTCTTTTGACTGCACTATATTGGCATTTTATATCAGTATCAACAATAATTGGTTGGTTTTTTACTTTAAATATGTGACATACTGCCAGACTAGTGACATAATCTTTCCAGTTTTATCCACAATGTTCTCTTCGCGCCGTTGTTTTTTTTTATTTCTAAGTAGTTATGAGACACAGTGGCAAAACTACTCTATCAGATATATTATCTCCTGATATTGATCACATGAATATTTATCGTTGATGATTTATTTTCCAGCCCTAATTAATGGAGTAAACGGCCTCAAAAACGGCCATTTTCTGAATGAACAACATATTCAGAGCAGTAATTAAGTTAAAATTGTACAAAGAAATATGAATTTAAATAAATAAATTAAACAAAATCCAACTGCTGTCAAAAATACATCAAAGAAACCACATTATTTGTTTAAATAGTCTTTTTTGCAGTGTGTTGTTTTATTTTTACTATGTTTCTCACCAACTTTGACCTAAATAAAATTCTGCTGGAGTTTTGATCGGCGTAACCAGTAAGTCCTGGAACAGAAATATGTTTTGCATCGCCTCAAAGATGACAAATTGAGGATTTGGACAAATAAAACTGAAATATAAAGTTTCACTTCATGTTTTCTTATGGGATGGAAGAAGTCCTCCAGCTCTTTATTTCCCACACTTTGGATGAAAAGTAAATAAGTTGAGCGGAGGTTCCCGTTTGAGCCGGTTCAGTGATAAATCAGACGGATTTATGGTGGAGTCTGAATGAGAATAACAGCAACAATTTTTCTTTACCATATGTTAAAAGCAAACCACAGTTACATCATGCAACTGTTTCTGATCACAAGTCTTTTGTCTTAAATTAACTTTCAGCCGTATCAGTTTATTTCTTTAAAACTCATGGTTACGTTTCTGTTTGATGTCGCTGCACCATGAAAACATATTTCCCATTTCTGTATCCCTATAAATCATCTTTTTAAAGGAAAACAAATGCTGTAAGCTAAATGTAATGCAGACGTCTGTTTTTTTTTTTTCTTTTTTTCGTCTCCCAAGGCGCCTCTCCTTATCCTGGGGTCCAGATTGACGAGGAATTCTGCTGCAGGCTGAAAGACGGGACTAGGATGAGAGCGCCAGATTACGCTCCTTCTGAAATGTGAGAATTTATGTCAACAATGCTTCACAAAAATGAGAAACTTTATGTTAAAAGAGCACTGTTAGTCTTTAGGGAGCTTTTAAATGAGTGAGTTTACTGAGTGTTATTAGGGCTAAGAAAATCAAAAAATAAAATCAGAATGTTACAAGATTAAAATCAATATTATGAGAATAAACTCAATACTTTCTCAACTTATACTATGACTTTTTTCTTGTAGTATAATGATTTTATTTTATTCTTTAATTTTCTTGTCACTTTATTCTGATATTGTTACTTTATTCTCGTACCGTTTCCACTTTATTCTGGTAAATCTGAGACTGTATTCTTGGATTATTTTGACTCTATTCCTTCAGCACGACAACAAAAGACAATTAGAGCCATTGAAAAAAAAAGTCTGACTTTGTTTCTAAAGTCAAAATTCTAAGAAAAAAAATCAGAAGTCTTTGTTTTCTGTGGCATCTTCTGTAGAAGAGGATCAAGACGCTGTTAAAAAATACTGTGGAGATCAAATGTGGAGGTTTCCTTTCATTCAGTTATTTTTTTTGCTCGTCAATCAATCGTGCTGAAATACATTAATAATTGTAACATGACAAAATTTGGGGAGGTTTCAGAAGTGTGAACACAAACAAAACATCACATGTCATCTATAACACAATATTAAGAATCTACTAGCTATTTAAAGCGTCCAGTTTTACTTCCTGTTGTCGCTAAAGTAGTTAGCTTCTTCCTTGTGTGATAAGAATCAGCTCTGAACATTGCAGGAGGAAACCTTAGCATCTGATTATCATTCAAACGTTGAGCTTTCTGACAGTGCCACACACGAGACTCAGCACCTAATTTTTTTCTGGGCCGAAGTTGGAGGATTCTGTTGGACATAAATATCTGTGGGAGAACACTCAGTCCTCTGCTTTGGTGTTGCTGCTGTCAGTCAGCGAGTGATTTTTCTTTTCCCCCTGCAGCCTCAGCGTGACGTCTGTGTCTGCTTTTAATTTAAACCTCCATCAGATTGCAATACACTTTAGACAAATGATGTTTAATCAAAAGGTTCAGCATTTCAAAGCATTTTCAGTAAAAACAAAAATAATGATAATGATAATAATAATTCATCAGACACACTATTAAAGTGGCTGAAGTGACTGAATTGAATTGATCTGCAAAATAAAACCCAGGTTGTAAGTTTCCGAACGGGTCAAGACTTCTGTAGTTTCCATCACCAGTTCAGAGTAAACAGATTAAATACTTTACATTCTTAAACCAAGAGGTCTGGTTTTAATTTTAAAGTGTTGATAAACCAACAGGTCAAGCAGGATTCACAAAATTCAGGTTTTGATCAACTCGAACCGATTTGGAAATAGAGGATTGATTAAAAACACACGAGGCAACAAGGGGATGCTGTTTAATTTGTGCCTCTGCTGGCGGCGATTCATCTGGAATGCGGCGATGTTGTGATGCATCGGAGAGGAATGCACCGGATGCTTTGCAAAGAGTGGGTGCACAATAAAAGGATGCTCATTTCCCATCAGATGAATTAAAAGCACAATCCTTCCTTTTCCAAAAAAACAACTCTGCATTCAGGGTGATGTGGGGCTGTGCTATGTATTCTCATTGAGAAGCAGACAGGAAGGGTCTTGAATTGTGCTCTGATGCATTGTGTGCACTTCCTGGTCAATAAAATGTTTCAGATCATGGAGGAAAGATGACAACTGAACGGGTGCGCTCTGCATTTAATAAGGTGAAAATGTAATAAAATGTAATAAGGTGAAAATGTGGTGCTTCCATAAGTGACAAAGTTAAACATTTAAGGAGAGTAGTAGGAAACTGATGCACGGTTTTGGTGGGGGCGGGGGGTTGCAAAAAATGCTTTTGTATTTACACTGATCTATTTTAAAATCCCTAAAAAAACAATCCCGTGTCAAATTATCTTCATCACTCACATGACAGACATGTGAGTGATCCATGTGTGTTTTATCAAATCTCGGTGTAAACACAGCTCTCCTTTAAAGCATTCAGAGGTTTGTTAACGAACATCAGTGACGCTTATTGGTGAAAAACTGTATTGAGGTGAAACATGGTGGTGGCAGCGTCATGCTGAGAGCTGAAAAGAGGGAAATCCTTGAGGAAAACTTATTGAAGCTGCAGAAGAGGTCAGATTGAGGCTCTAGTGAGACAACAACTCATAACAACATCAGTGGCTTTACTGCAAAAACACAAAACATTTCCAGTTATTTATGTTTAGTTTTTAGTCCAAATATCAGAACTGTGACGGCATTATTAAAACAAGCTACTTGGTGAATAGTTGCTTTTAAGTTCGTTTTGTCTGATTTTAAGTGTACTACGATATTTGCAGTAAAAACTAGACCAAAAATACTTGGTAAGATTTTGTTATTTCGCAGTGTTACATCTAATACATTCATGTGGCGGAACGGACCAGTCAAAGTTCAGACCTAAATCTAATTGAGAAACTGTTCTCAGATGCTTTCAATCTGATCCACTTAAATTAAATCTCAATGAAATACACTGAGATTTGAGGCTGTAATTGAATAAGATATAAGAAAGGTTTAAGTTGAGGCACGCTCTGATGCAGATGTTTCTAATCCTCCACTAAATGGAGGAGATGCTGACAGCGTGTCAATAGGAGAACAGGGTCTACTTGTTTCTGCAGAAAAGACCAGAAGTTGTTCTCCATCTTCCTAAACGTGTTAATTCTTTCTGTATATCAGTGGAAACACACAGTCTGTGGGTTTGAGGCCTCTGGAGCAGCCGCTCAGCGTGCTGAAAGCTTCTCCTTTCCTTACAGATACCAAACCATGCTGGACTGCTGGCAGGGAGAGCCACAGCAGCGGCCGACCTTCACTGAGCTGGTGGAGAGGCTGGGCGATCTGCTGCAGGCCAGCGTGCAACAGGTACAAAACTAAAGAAAACTCTGCATAATACAGCCAGAGCTTCACTTCATGGACTCACATTTAGTGGATTCACAGTTACAGTCAGAAAAAAGTGTCACTGATTTGTAAAGTCTTGTTTTTCAGTAAATAACTTTAGTGATTTCAGAACAAATAGTTGATTTTATTATGCATTTTTATAATTGACACAAGTTTAAAAGTACCTTCAGGCACAAGTCTTTGGATAAATGTCCTCTACTAAGTCAAATAGAAATAATTTTTCATTTAACCAATAGCCTATTTATTACAATGTAAAAAAATACATTTAAAAACAATTTAATTCCTTTTTTAAATAATAAAATGGACATTGTATTGTCTGAAATGCAAACAGTATTTCTTTAGTGAACACTTGATTTTGTTTTTTTTGAGCAGTGAAAAAATAGTTTTATCATCTCCATGTAAAAAAACAGAAACAAAACTCAGTAGTTTCTGTTTTACTTTACATCATTACAGTGTAAGGTGACTAACTGATTGAAATTAAGATAGAAAAAGGTGCTGAATAGGAGATTTTATTACTGAATTTGCTACTTAAGTTCTGTGGAGAAAATATTTAGAGTATCCTTTATTTTAAATGCAAAATGTATGTAGTTTTTGCACAGTTTGTGTTCTTTCAGCAAATGCCCTTTTTTGAGTCCGTTAACGATTCATCGTTATCGGATGAGTCCGAGATTCAAACGTTAGTTGGGATGAATGTATATATTTGAGCCTCTGTGTTAATTTCTGACACTGACAAAGAGAAAATCTTTAAACAATTAAAGATTGGAAAGAGAAAACTTGTTATTGTTATTGCTCGATTACTCACTAGTTTACTAGGATTAGTCACAGTAATTTCACATAGTCAGGAAGAAGCGTTGAGCGTCGTAATTTCAGAGCAGAACAAAAAGGGGAAACAACACTCAGTGAGAAGACACAACTTTGAGATGGCGTCACACGTCCCATCAAAGGAACCACATTACTGGAGAGATGCAAGACGGTCTGGTGTGGGCGCTGCTTAACTGAAGAATTTGTGTGGCTGCAAAGATGTTAACCTGGAAGAAATTTAAAAACAACTAGAAAAGTCGCTGCTCCTTGCGAAACAGTCGTGCGAATAATAATTTGTTGAGTGAACTCACCAGATTGAAAATATTTTATATGGAGCCAAATGGAGGAAGGGGAAGAAAACCATAAAATCTACGGCAATGACACTTATATTCCCTAATAGCAGATGCGTGTGGCTACGTTTTGATGCATAAATTATTTCTCTGGAGGGAAAGATGTGCAAACAGCAGCATTTTGTTTGCGCAAAAACCAAAACTCATCAGTTACCAGAGTCCGCACTCTGTCCGCCATTACATTGTAAAACTGAAAAACTTACATAAAACTTAAATCGTGATTTTAGAAAAACCGTAAGTGATGTAAGAAAGCTGAATCTCTTGAAGATAGCCTCATGCCTTGTGATCTGTTTGAAAGTTGAATTGAGATCCTAGGTTGACGTAGGCAGACGTAGCATAAGTTAAAATATTAAAAAAATTATAAAAGCTAAAATTACCCAAATATAGAGCAAGTCTCCAGAACAAGCTGAACATTTTGATATATAAACTGCTGAAATCAGTTGAAGTATGCAGACAGTTAAGAACTGAAAAATGTACAAAAGACGAGATAATACAAAAAATAAAATTTCAAGAAGTGAGAATACTGAATGCATTTGCTTCGCTCATATATCAGCACTTTAAAGAAAACTGAGCCAAATTTATTTTTCTTAAAAAATTCTTCTTTTCTGCGACACACAAATTCAAAACTTGCTTATGTGAATTTGTGGCTACATTCATGCCAAGAATGTAGCCTTTGATATTCTTGACATTTTGCATGACTTGAACTCAATGCTTTTGGCCATTTTTGAGGGAAATTTGCAGGAATCTGTTGATTTTGCTTGAATTTTGTGGATTTGCGAAAAGCTGGAAGGACTTATTGATGGAATTTGGAGTTCAGAGGGCCACATAAAACGCTACGGCTGGAAAGATTTGGTCCCTGGGCTTTGAGATTCACATATTTATTTTAATCCAACTGAGAATCTGTGGCAAAAGTTGAAAAATGGAGCCATCACATCCATAATTCTTCTTCCACTTCAATTATTTACCACTCTGTGTTAGCCTGTCAAATAAAACCTTAATAACACGTATATTAATCAAGACACTGTGAAGATAAAGGGATTTAATTTCTCTCTCACAACATGGCCTCAAAATAGGATAAAGTGCGGTGATAAACTTCGCTGCTTAAACTTCATATTAAACGGTTTTGGATTTATTAAGCATGACCCTGGTTTCTTTGGCCTGTCGCCACCAACCCTGAGTGTTTTTGTTTGCACAGCGCACACAGCACCAGCCATAAATCTACCTCTTGTGCTGATTTAGGAGGGGAAGCACTACATACCCATCAACACAGCCCTGTTGGAGAAGGTGGGAGAGCAGATTGAGGAGACGGAGGAGACGTCCACACGACCCGTCTCCCACCGGGACTCCGGGGGCAACTGGTGAGAGTTTGGATCGCTCTTCATTGGATCGCTCACAGAAACAAACTCATTGCACTTTACACACCTTCCCTCACTGAATTAGTTGACATTCTACTTTAAAAAATTCACCAAACTTTTCCCTCAACTTGAAAAAAATTATTTTTATGCTCTGCAGACTCCTTCTGTATCTTAAAAGGTTGGTTGACATTTTCGGCTCCCTTGGGATAAAATAAGTCAACCTCCTGTAACTTATTGTATCTTTACATTTGTCTTGCATTTTGCTTACAATCAAATTCCAGCTCTGCATTTGTCAAGTTGCACAGAGCTGCAAGCCTGTCTGCACTGCAAAAACAAAATCTTACCAAGTATTTTTGATAGTTATAATCCAAAATATCTTAGCACACTTGAAATAAGATAAAACTAACTTTTCAGCCAGAAATGGGAGCTTGTTTTAAGTAATTACTTTATACTGATCTTAAACAAGCTCCTATATCTTTCTGAAAAATTACTTGTAAGTTAGTTTTATCTTATGCCAAGTGTGCTAAGATATTTGCACCAGAAAAAGAATAAAAGTTGGTAGAAATGGGCCAAAAGTCCTGCAAACTGTTGTGAGAAGCTTGTGGAAATAAATCTAAAACATTTGATCCAGGTCATAAAACTTTGAAGACAAATCTATGAAATGCAATCTTTCAGCAGAATATGGGAAATTGGTTTAACTCAATAAGTCCTTAAAATTGCTGAAAAAAGTATTTGTTCCACAATCAGATTATTTCACTAATGACATGGGAAAAGGGGAATAATCCGCCAGTAGAAATAGAATTTTAATCCAATGGATCATTCACTTAAAACAAGCGCCAATTTATTATTATTATAACTAGAACATTTTCCAACAATATGTAGGACTTACTGACTTAAACAAACCTCAATATCTTACTGAAAAGTAACTTGTGAGCTAATTTTGTCTAATTGCAAGTCAGAAACTAGTCCGTTTTCTTTGTTCCACAAATCACTCCTCCTTGAACTTGTCATTGTGAACAAACCCAGTTTTTTTGTTGTTTTTTTTTTTTTTTTTACTTTTCTGCACTGAAAAATATCTAAAAACACAAAATGTTCTTAGCTTGGGGGAGATGTTGTTCAGTCTTAAGCACAATGAGAACCCGATAAGAAATGTACACATTTGCAGCTCCTGAGATTTCACCCACCAGCCCCCAAAAAAGAAAACACAGCACTGGCGTCAAGATTTAAGTCCACTTATAAAAATATTTGTTGAGCTCTTGGGTTTTCACAGCTCCTCCAAGAGTGTTTATTGAGGAGGTGCTGAAAGGCAGTAATGACAGTCAGCCCTGGAGTAAAAACCCAGCTTCTGTTTGAGCTTCCAAGTGTTGAAATGCAAAGCAAACAGTGAGTGTTATCAGAGTACAGTGTCATGGATGCTGAACAACGTTGATATAAATGATTAGGTTCCTGCAGTTCTGTTTCTGAACTTGACTCAGTAGAATCAGAGCAGAGTCTCAAAGCTGGACTTTCTCTTTTTGTTCCCGCAGGAACATAAAGATCCGCCCTGCTAGCGTGAAAACGTTTGATGAGATCACCATGGAGAACGGGACAAATGAAAACCAAGAGGTCAGTCACACAAACTGCAACATGAACTCTCAGTTTGGTGCAGCTTCTGATACCTAAAGTTATTTCTTAAAGTTGTTTTTCGGACTTCAGCTGCTTTTACACACATTTTCTGATTATGGTTTTGATTTTTAGTTTGTCTGTGATCATTTAGAACTAAGTGAAAATAAAAACCCTCCTTTTTCACCCAAATCTCTGCTGGGGGCCACATTTGTTTCAAGGGCCACATGCAGTCAGTTCAGGGGCAGCAAATGGCCCCCAGGCCGCACTTTGGAGACCCCTGACTTAAACCAAGCTCCAATAAAGTTTTTTTTTCTTATTTCAATTGCACAAAGACATTTGCATAAGAAACAAGACCAATATGATTTGGAAAGGTTTTGTGTTTTTGCAGTGTAATTATGCAGTGTTATATTTAATTTAGAAGACTTTTTATGCTTGATTAATTCACATATTACATTGTGTTTCTGTGAAAAAGCTGCAGAAAAAGCAACCAAAGTCATAAGAAAACTTAAAGACTACTTTAAATAAATGTCTTGCTCTTTGGGAAGCAAATACAAAACTTCCTGCACACTTCCGTTCTCTCTTACCCTTTCAGTAATAATCATTTCCCGTTTTCCTATCCTCCAGGGTCAGTCGGACAGCGGGATGAGCCTTTCGTCCGACAACATGAAGACTCTGATGTCGTTGGCAGGCCGACCTCTGAGCATCATGGCCTTGGCGTACGTAAGCTGCGACCTTCCCAGCGCCCTTCAGAGGCGACGAACCGACACAAACCCAGACCCAGGCAATCACAGAAAACCAGCGTGGAAACCGGCTCAGCGTGCTGGAATGCAGACGCTGTAACTGTCATACAAATCCACACGTGTAAAAAGAAGTCAGGAGCCTGTTTTCTCTTTTGTCCAAAGGAACTTTGTATGAGTCAAAGTAATAGAGACGTTTGAGGGAAAAGAAAGAGCCAGAAACAAAGAAAAAAATATTTTTTTAGCTTGAGGATCCAGCAGTTTTCAATGACAAATTAAGCTGCTTGAAGCAGGAAAACAAATCTGAGGCAATATGTTCTCAATTTAGAAGTTTACTGAAGGAACACACAAAAATTACACATTTAGCTTCTTTATTTTACACTGAAGCTTGAATTCAAAATGCTTATCTTCATCAAGGCAGAGAGGAAAGAGGCAAAACTTAAATGAAAAACAGCAGATTTAACTTGTAGCTGGGGGGGAGTAACATGTGGGGCAGAGCTGTAACTCATTTACAGCTCACACCACGTCACCTAAAAGTGTCTTTTAGATCTGAAAACATTAAGGTCTGCGCCCGGCACAAAGAGTTAGCTCAAGCATCCAGACAATTATCTGTGTTTCAAGGGGAGTCGTCTCTCGCCGGGCAGCCACTCAATCACTGCCAGTTTCTAAACTTAAGAGGGTTTACAAGGACCTCCCTGCAGGAGAAGCTTTCCTTCTTTCACCCGGAAAGCAAGAAAAAAGCACCATAAATCTCACTTATTCCAACATTTTCAATAGAAAAAAACTGCACTCCACGACTGAAAAGATAACATGATGCACTTCAATAACTGGTTTACCAGATAGTTTATTAATCAAGACCGAATTCCAGTTTGGTGTCGTGTCTTCCTCCTGCTGGGAGCTGACCCTGTACTCTGAAGGGAGAGGTTCTGGTCCAAGACAAAAACACCCAGTCATAAAGCAGTAATAAAAGGAAGCAGAAAAACCTCAGGATGATTGATTATATCAAACATGAAAACAGGGTTTTTTTTCTGGTTGTAAGGATGGAAATATTTAAAGAAAATTGGATCAAACAGGCCTCTAGGGGGATGTTTTATTTCATGAAGGCATGTTTTTCTTTACAGTCATGCAAATAAGGTTCCTTTAGTGGCTTTAAAAACTCTTGATTGACAGTACTAAGACCCGCCTCCTGGATCTGATTGGTTGTTTTTAATTAGCACTGGGAGAAGCCAAAGGAGCTGGATTATTTAATAGATTATCTGTCTCAGTACCGGAGGTGGCAGAGTATCCAAAAGTTGTCTTCTAATAAGAGTAACACCACTTCATCATATTTTTACTCAAGTAAAAGTAACAAGTATCCGTCCAAGAAATTACCCTAGAAGAAGTCTGCTCAATTACTGAGTCACTGATCAAATTATCAGTCATTTAATAAGAAAAAATTATATAAGCCTGAATATAAAGCTGAGTGGAAATTTTTGGTATTTTAAGTACAAAAATGACAATAATTCATTTAAGTAACAAAAAATAAGAAAATTAGGCAAAATATTTTTTTCTGATTCAGTTTCTTTCCCTAAAGATCTTATGAAGTTTAAAAAAAACTGCAGGAGTGTGTCTGAGGGAGTTTTAAAACATCAATTTATAGAGATTTTACTCAAGTAAAAGTAAAACTAACAAAAACACTCCTAAAAGTACATTTTTACAAAAAAGTTACTCAAGTAACAGTAGGATCCAACTCTTCACTGTTTATAAAAGTTGCTTTAGATAAAACCTCATTCTGTGTTTTCCTTCCTCTCTGTTTTCAGGATGAAGGCAGTGAGTAAGAGTAAAGAGTCGGTGCTGAACGACCCGGAGAAGGACAAGTTCCTGCCCACCGTCCCGCCGCTGGACTTCAGTCTGGACGACTCGGCTCTGGACGTCAGCCTGGAGTGTCACAGCCCGCCGCCGGACTACAACTCCGTGGTGCGTTACTCCACGCCTCCCGTGTAGCCGCCGCCCGAACCCCACCGGAGCATCCGAGAGTGGAAGCGTCAAGGCCTCGGCTTTGTTCCCCCCGTGCGTCAGCGGCCGGGGAGGAAAAGGCGAGATTCCCTTTTCATGGACTCAGAAGTGACTCAGCTCCCCTGTGGATCTCTGGATTGTTGATTTTTTGTTTTCCATATGTTGGCTTCTCGTTAATGCTGCTGGTCTGTCCCAACCTTCACTGTCAAACAGCTGAAAACAGCCTCAGGTATTTCTCTGATCTACTGTGAAACAAACCGCATCCATCCCGACTTGACCCAGATAACAACGATCCACAAAGAAGAGTTAAAGGAATAAAATAATCCTGGAATAAATTGATCTAATGTAGCATAAACTGACGGAAAATTTTACATTCTCCTGTGCTCGTAGTAAATGAACGTATATGGAGGATTTAGGCTTAATTTACTTTCTCTTATTTATTACTGCGTCTTATGACTGGGCAATAAATCAATTTTATTGATTTTTTTTTTAAATTTTATTTCTGGAAAATCTGAATTTTACCAATGAATTCAGATCAAATCTACAAAGAATTATTAGAGGCAGGCTAAATATTTTTGTTACGAGAATAAAGTTGTAGCCATGGTGATAAAAGAGGAAAGTCATGAGAATAATGTCAATATTAGCAGAAAACAGTCGCAAAATAAGAGGACAAATTTACAATTTTCTGAAAACAAAAATTAAAATGAGAAATGTTGAGAAGATAATAGAAAATAAGGAAATACTTAACATCAGCATAAATTACCAAAAGGTTTAAGCAATCAAATTTAGAAGAAAAAACAGACAAACTGAGCCGCTCACATCAGATTTTTATAATTCTGGAAGCTTTTTACTAAAAATAACGTTTTATTATCATTTTCAACATTTTTCTGTTAAAACTGCATTTTTATTCTGCTCATATTATGCCTATTTTCTCATAATTAAAGAAAGATTCTTGTAAAATAAAATACAAATATTACAATTAGGTTGGATTTTTACACATTCTTTTGAATGTGAGTTTTAAATTCACATTAATCTACAATAGAAGATTAATTTATTCTAAGGGTTTTTATGCCAGGAGAGCATAAACTACTGTACAAAATACAAAAATAGAAGACATTCATGTTTGAAATCTACGTTTGAAGTGTGATTTTATGCAAATAAAATTAAAAAGTTGCTGATTGAACTCAGGTCTACCCATACAGGAAACAGTTTGTTTGCTCTGCTGTTCAGAGTTTTAAAACTCCCAGGTTAATGAAGGAAACAGGGTTCAGATGTTACCTTACAGCGAAACATTTACATGATTTCCTCCTCCTGTTTGGTGCGAATTAAACGCTGCACTGCTACTTTATTTCTCCCTCTTTGTTTTGGCCTAAAATACGATTTGTATATCAACACATGCAATGAGAACAAATCTTCATAGGAGCATTTGATCCAAAAAATACTAGAAAAACAAGTTGTATGTATATTTATGTAGAGATTGCAAACACTGTCGCCTGTTGTTTCACTTTTCACCAGGATTTAACGGTTAACTGAAGGATATTTTCCTGCTCAGACTTTCTGATGTTTTCCAGTGTTTCATTCTCCTTGTAAGCAGGTGAGCAGGTTGCTCTCTGAGCCTCGTTTTGCAACGTTTCCATCGCTGGCTGCACAAACTTTGAGCCAGCAGCAACAGCTTAGTCTGGTTTCGCAACATCTGCATGGAAACTGAAACCGTGGAGTGAAAGTTTAGAGCTATGTTGTGTTTCATTACCACTAAAAAAACAGTATTTGTGAGTAAAAATGAATCTATGCTTTTTCAGATGAAGTGGGAACAATTATGCACTGACACCAAGTGATATCAAGTAAATGTATTTTGTATTACCGTATTTTATTGACAGTGTTGTTTGTTGTAGGTAACATTTTTTTGCAAAGATTTTAGATGCATTGTTTTTATTTAACCCATATCTATATAGTAGGAAATTAACGTTTGCAGTATTTGGTGTGTTATGTCTTTTTTTATACATATCTGCTTTCTGCTTAAGGATAATCCTTTCTGTCAGAATAGATCACGCCTCACTTGTGTAGCTCATTTCTCCCTCTTGAACATTTCATCTTCACTGTATTAGGAAAAATTGACTTTATTGCATTTATTTGTGACAAATACACATTTATAACGATAAAGCTTCCTTCTGTAACTCAAACCCACATGGAGAGCTACAGCTAAGATTTATTAACGTGTGATGCTACCCAACACTGTTAACAGAGTGTATGAAGTAAATAAATGAATAAAGATTTATATATTTATTCAGTCGTTCTATTTCTGGTTCCATTCTTCGAAGAAAAAAAAACATTTTATGAATCACTTTTCTGTGATACAGATGTGGAAACTGGGTGCAGAGATCTGTGACTCAAAGAGGAGAGAGTCTATCCTACTGAGTTTAGATTTTCCATTTTGGTCTCAAAGGGTTTTTATATTTTTATATCTTGTTCACCAGAAAAGTTGCAAATGTTGATAGCATCAGGATCCTGACACTCTGGAAACATTTTAATTTAAGAATCACATTCTGCTTTATTGACCCAGTTTGTCCACACAAAAAGTTAACATATTCACATCAAGTCAATGTTATGTTTATTTTACATGATAAAACCAGAGAGCATGTTTACTTCTATTTATACAGCATAATTACAGTATTTCACAGAAGAAGAAGAAGACCAGGATGATTTAAGGCGTAAATGGTAGCTCAGTTTTTTAAAAGCAGTTTCTTACCGTCAATCTAAAGTTACAGAAAGTCCAGCATGTGTGGGATCTGCAGTCGTTTATGGCTAAAAAGTACTGAAAAATCTCCAGATTTGACTCTGGAAGAGCGCAGAGTTTTGACATGAACACACAGAAACCCTGTGCTGTCAGCAACTTTGTTACCTACATCTGTGAAATTACTTCTTAACATAAAAAACAACCAACTCAGCCAATTGCATGTCAGCAACTCATATTTAATATAATAGAACACACCTGCTGTCATTAGCCTCATTTGTAATTAGAATTAATTATACCAGAGCTATTATGACTATTATGATTTTAACCTTACAGGAGAAACAAAGTTAAAAAAAAATTCATTAGGATTTTGAAAGTAACATCAGCTGATAAACACAACATTTTATAACATATTTCCAGTAGCCATCAACAGGTAGAGACTAATCCTTATTATTTACATCATTATTTAGAAAAACAATACAATGAATCTATGCTTTTTGTTTTTCCATGTGTAACAGCATTTAGGTTGCAATATTCAATGTTCTCTCTATGCATATTTGTCCGTCATGCTGCCTTGGTGCTCTTGGGGGCCCCCTGGTGGCCTGGGGGCCCTGAACACACGTGCCCTGGTCCAGAGCATCTACATATTTTCTTTTTGTTGGACTCAAAGCCACAGGTTCGCTACGCATTGCACATATTTACCTACTGAAATGGCACGGGTCACTTCTGCTTCAGACTTGTGAAAACAAACATTTAGGGGCTTCCTTGATTTTCACTTTTTACTTATAAAATAAGAAATTGTATATTTGTATGGCAAAAATCCAACCTGAGAAAAAGAAATACTTTCAATATGAAAGATTTTCCTACTAACTGCCTCCCTGACCTTTCAAACTTATCAAGCAAACATCGTGGGACTGTGATGCAGACAGTGCGTTAGATGAGAAGACTGCAGCCCAGCCTGTTGACTCAGTAAACCAAAAGCTTCTGAGTTATTCCCGGCGAGGTTCGTCTTGGCTGAAGTGTGGGCCTGGCTCCTGGTCTTCGGGTTGTGGAAGACTCACTTCCTAGTTGTGTCAAGGTGTCGGCAGCCTGTCTGTTCCTCGGGACATTGTCTGCCTCCGAGCAGGAAAGGAAGGAAGTCTTAATCATCCTGGTCACGACCGGAGGGCGCCACACACTGGCCTTCCTCTGGGAGACACTTTTTACCGGCGATAGGTGTGTCCAAGTGAGGGGACCTCACACACACACACCCGCACACTCGGGGACATGGGTCATTGACTGTCCCCTGTTGTCCTTTGCTGTATTTACAGTAAGGTGTGTGCCAACCATTGGATCTGAACGCATGCCAACACCTTCCTCTGCAGACTATTTCAGGAATATAAGATGCAAACAAACAGAGGAAGGATGTAGGAGGGGAGCAGGGTTCGTGACTGTCATGTTTTTTCTGTCTATTGCATCTGACGCAGTGATTTTCCATTCCTGTGCAGGTTGCAGGATCATTTCCAGAGGGACCGCACTGCTTCTCGCTTAAAGATTTTAAAAAAACTTAGTCAAAGTTTGCAAATACGATTATCTTGTCTTGCTTGTGCCCCAAAAAGAGGAACATGTTTTGGAGTAAATTGTCCAAATCGACTCCAGAACAAAACCTAAACACTTTGCAAAGTTGCTGGACGAAGCCAGTAAGACAGAGTTATGAGTCCATACCAACATCGGCTGAAAAACGAAGAAGACGTCACTCTAAAAGCAAGACAAAAAGCTACTTTACAGTTTACAAATGCACTCAGACACAAAGACTTCAACCTGAAGGGAAGTTTATAATATTTGGATAAAGAAAGAGGAAATATTGCTTATTAACTATGAGGTATGGCGGTGGCAGCATCATGATGTGTTTTTTCCAAAAAAGGAGCTGGTGCACTTAATTTAAAATACTGCATCTTAAGGAAATAACAGAGTTTGGTAACTAATTACATTTATTCAAGTTGCATTTTGGAAATATTAGTACTGCTTTTATTACAATGTACTTTTCACTTTTACTTTATTCTAAAATATTTCAACTCTTGAGTAAAATTTGTGGATTTTCTACCCACTGAATGAAAAACAAACATGTTTTAACCATAAACTCACCAAACAGACACAGACCGGCAGTTTTCATAAAAGTTTCACAAGCTTTTTATTGAAAGAAACTAATTTGGAAAAATGTTTTTTTATTTGCCTGATTTTGTTGACATAATTATTTTTTTTAATTATGTCAGTTTTATTAATTATTGTCATTTTGGTCCATCTAATATTATGATCATTTGAGTCGCCTTTTTTGCCAAATACCTGAGTAATTTCTTGGTAGCTACTTTCTACTTTTACTCTAAACATGTCGATGTGGTGCTACTACAAGATTATTCAACCTGATAATAATAATTATACAAAATAATTGAATAATGAATAATTTAAAGAGATCTTTGTCAGCCCAAAAACAAGTATTGTAAAGATTTTAAGAGAAATGTAAAGCCATTACAAATAAAAACCACAAGCATAATCTTTATTTTTGTCTGCTTTTCTAAAAATATATAATTTCTCATCAGGAATCCTTGTCACTCAACAGCACAGCAGCATTTAAAAATAAATTAAAATTACACTGATTATTTTCCTCCAAGGCGTCTCCGGGATAGTGCTGCATTTTTCTAAAATGCACTGCCATCCTGTGGTCTGCAGGACAATTACGTTGATACGTGATCACCATCGGCTGTGAGGCGTCTGATTGTGTTTTCCTCATTTAACAATAACACTCATGATGCCCTTCACCCCACTCCCACTTCCCTCTGACCGCTTCCACAGCCTCTCCCCAAAGCAAACAGAGCTGCAAAAACACTCCATTAATCACACAAAAGGAACCATTAATGAATTCAGAGAACATTTGAAGTTGCAATTTAATAAGAAGTGAAAGAGAAACATCTGTGACGCAGCTTGTATTTCTGTCTGACAGAGGCTTTTTATGCAAAAAAAAAAATTGGGGGGGAAAAAAGAGGATGAAAGGAAGAAAATTAAATGTTCACTCCCTGGAGACAGAAACGCCCACACAATGACATTCCCAGACCTCACAGATGCAGATGAGCAGCGGGTTAACCACGTTCACACCTCTCACCTAAATTCAGAACAATGCGTTTGGTTCTTTCCCATGAAAACTCCTGACTTTAACCCAACCTCAGGCAGCCGAGACAACGACTCATTACGCTAAATAAAGAGTTTATCTGGAAAAAGGAAAAAACATCAGCAGTTTACAAAAACATCTGTGGAGATTGAAGCAAGAACAACATCTTGTACTTCGACCTATGACCTTTAAAGACTCTCTGCTCTCCTGCCAATTTCTGCAGGCCACCTGAATTACACAACATGGCCCCCAAATGAACTTAATTCAACCAAAATTTCTTGATTGCTGCTCATTACAGTCACACGAAGGACAGCTGCAGCTTCTTATTCCACAAAAATGAGACTATAAAGGTTAATAAATTTAAAAATAATCCATATTAACTCATTATGTTAGTTAATTAACACAACTCTGGTGACTGGCTGGTCTTGGACCATTTTATTTATCAACTGGCATTTTTATTCAGTTTTTAGTGCAAATATTTGAATGCACCTGAAAGAAGACAAAACAAACTTACAATTAACTTTTTGGCAAGATATAGAAGCTTAATTTAAGTAAATAATTCCTTAGTATTGAAGAAAAAGTCCTTGTTCCACTTAAAATAAGACATTTTTTTCCATCGCATAAGTGAAAAGTGTCTTGCTGAAAAATAACTTGAAAGTTATTTGTGTCTTATTTCAAGCTTACTAAATATTTAGATTAGATTATTTTTCATTTTTAGTGAATAGTTTGATTTCAACCATTTCTACCGTCACTAATTATGAATAGTAAGTTATTTCAATGCTCAAATAAACATGAACTTTTCGTGAATTTTAAATTAACCAACTCTGTTGCACATTATTTTGAGCAGGAGCACACTAATTCTAATAACTAGAAGATATTTATGCCTTTACCATACAGTATTTGTAAACTATTTTATGTGTTTTAAGAGTCTATTTGCTTTGATTGATTGAAATAGATGATATTATCAAGGTATTCAATCAGGAAACATAATGTAGCTCAAACATCTGCAGCTCCAGTAGAGTCCCGCTTTTCTTGTTTCAAATACTTTTAAACAAAAACCAAAAACTGAAACCGCGTAGTGAAAGAAATCATCCAACTCAGTGTGATTCAACCACACACATCAACAAAGATCTGCTCTGCAATCCATCAGTCAAGCTTGTACAAATTATAATCTATTAAAGCTTCTTGATTGCCTTCATGTGTCTGCAGCAATACTTTACCCCAAAGAACATATTTTGTCACCAAAATATTTCAAAAATTTCTAAAGCAAGCTGCATTTTTATGAAGCATTAGTTAACCCAAACAAATTACTTCATATTTCCTTTCTGACAGATTTATGGCAGTTTCTGCCACATAACTGCAAAGCAATTGGATGCAACAAGGATGAAAGGAGAAGGGATCGCCAGTCGC